GTTGGTCTCTTTTATTTCAGTTCCGATAGAGATGCATCACTTCATATGAGTTGGTCTCATATGTTTCATCTACAGTTGTGAGCACCACTTCATTTTATGAGTTGGTCTCTTTTGTTTCAGTTCCGATAGAGATGCATCACTTCATATTAGTTGGTCTCATATGTTTCAGCTGCAGTTGCGATGCACCACTTCATATAATGAGTTGGTTTCGTATGTTTCAGCTCCGATTCAGGTGCACCCCTACATATAATGAGTTGGTTTCGTATGTTTCAGCTCCGATTCAGGTGCACCCCTTCATATAATGAGTTGGTCTCTTTTGTTTCGTTCTCTAGTTGTGAGAACCACTTCATATAATGAGTTGGTCTCTTTTGTTTCATCTCCAGTTGTGAGCACCGCTTCATGTAATGAGTAGGTCTCTAATGTTTCAGCTCTGATTGTGATGTGACACTTCATGAGTTAGTCTCGAAAGTTTCAGCTCCAGTTATGACGCACCTTTACATATGAAAAAATGAGTAGGTCTCTAGTGATGTAGCTCCAGTTGTGAAGCACCAGTTCGTATTATGAGTTTGTCTCTACCATCTCAGCTCCAGTTTAGAGGCGCCTCTTCCTACTATTATGAGCTGATTTCTTATGATTTATATCCAGTTGAGATAGGGGTGTATTTTGCTAGTCCGAATGTTCCAAGTTGTAGGGAAAGTATAACCTACCACATCCATGGTGAAGTGTAAGAATGAGTTGCGGGTGCTGTCCACACCCAATGATACCCCAGTTACCGTAGAAAGGCAGCTGTAGTGTCAGCTGAGGTCGTCTGGAAGTCTGATCTCTATAGCACATATACTGATCGATATTAAAAAGCTCTCAGATTCCGGTTCAAATGAGTGAGTGAGTATGGTTTTACGCCGCTTTTAGCAATATTCCAACAATATCACAGCGGGGGGACACCAGAAATGGGCTTCACAGATTGTACCCATGTCGGGAATCGAACCCGGGTCTTCAGCGTGACGAGCGAACGCTTTAACCACTAGGCTACCCGACCGCCCCCGGTTCAAATGAACAGATACATTGACTCCGTTTGGCCATTATTTAGCACAATAGTCAATGCAAAGATTTCGTGTTATGGATCTCTGTTGTGCATACCCGTTCCGGCAAGTAACTTTTGTAGAGATTTATAACGATTTGCGTATCACTACCAAAGGATCATTTCAAAAACAAAATCAAGACTATAGTCTATATTGAAATGCACCACCTCCATTAACGATGATTTAGTCTTTTAATGTTTTAGATCCAGTTCAGACGTGCAAAATCCTATTTTAATGAGTTGGTCTTTCAATGTTTCAGAATCATTTGAGAAGCGCCACTTCCTGGTATAATGAGTTGGTCTCTAGTGTTGTAGCTCCAGTTGTGATGCGCCTCTTTATACAATGAGTTGGTCTCTTGTTTCAGCTGCAGTGGTGATGCACCACTTCCTTTAATTAGTTGGTCTCATATGTTTCAGCTCTGGTTGTGATGCGCCACTTCATATATTGAGTAGTTCTCATGTTTCATACCCAGTTGCGAAGCAGCACTTCATATGATGAGTCGGTCTCTAGTGTTTCAGCTGCAGTTGTGATGCACATCTTCATTTAATTAGTCTGTCTCAAATGTTTCAGCTTCAGTTGTGACGCACCACTTAATAACACCGATGAAGATCCGTGTTAGAATAGATCTTCAGCAGCCCATGCTTGCCGTAAAAGACGAAAAGGCTCGCTGACTTGGTTGATGCATGTCATTGTATCCCAATTGCGTTGATCGATGCTCATGATGACAATAACTTGATTGTCTGGTCCAGACTCGATTATTTACAGACCCCCGTAATATAGCTGGAATATTGTTGAGTGCAGCGTTAAACAACATTCACTCACTGTCATAATGCCAGAGAAGAAGAGTCCAGCTAGGCAGTGTCATTATTGAATTACTGAATGTAAAGGTAACATTTTCTTTAAATTTCCCCAATACCAGCTTTCATTTACAATTTTTTTATGACAAATTGTAAAGATTGTGAAAAGAGTATATTTGTTTACCCTTCTCAATTCTTATCAGTATCGTTTTGCTGTACCTTGTCCACAAATATACTCAGCACCATTGCGAAAGGGTCACCTAGGGTGTCACACATGAACAAATGCCAACAAGCTTCAACAGATCTGAGTATGTTAGCAATGTGATGATGAACTGTTGAAGAACATGTTGTTTATGCCTATGTCAGTCGCACTGATTGGGTGCCCTTTTGAAAGTGGAAAAATTGATGTTTATCTAAAACAATGAAAAGTGAAAGATTGAAGGGATTGAATAAGCTACCCAAAACACATGCCTGAATACAACCAGTGGTATAGCATTTGCATCTGCTATACATAACAAGTAACAGTTAATGTGGGTATAAAATGGTTCATTCCAGATGCCACTGAACTGCACACTTGGAAGTTGAAAATGCAATGCTTTTTAATACTTTTATCTCGGACTCTTTGCCTGGCCCATGTGCCTGTCTATAGGAACATCTGCCAAGGCCACTAGGGAGGGTGCTAGTGATAATTTGTTTTACAGCATTCAGGAATATTTGGGGTACTATCAGCGCCTATGATCCATGCTATCAGGTAACAGACCCGTGAAGATTCCAGGGTAGAATAGGTCTTCAGCAACCCATGCTTGCCGTAAAAGTGACTATGCTTGTCGTAAAAGGCGAGTGACGGGATCGGGTGGTCAGGTTCGCTGACTTGGTTGATGCATGTTGTCGATCCCAATTGCGTGGATCGATGCTCATGATATTAATCACTGGATTGTCTGTTCCAGACTCGATTATTTACAGACCGCCGTCATATAGCTGAAATATTGCTGAGTGCGGGCGTTAACAACAAACCAACCAACAAACAACTATCAGGTAACATGTCATACCATTGCCAAAATTAAACCTGGTTCCCACCTAATCCTTATCTGTCGATCTTCATATCTTGCTCCAGAATCCCCAAAAGGCAGCTTGCTGATGAAACAAAATCAGAATGGGAACCAATAGAGAACATGGGCTTTATTTACAAAATGTAAAACAGATGAAAAAAGCAGCACATTTCCATTCATTACACCTGATGTCATGCAAGTTACTTTCCTATTACAAGCATAGCAGCAGTAACACCGCAGCAAGGCACAATATGCAACATAAAGTGATCGTACCTCAGCCCTGCCAAGATTCGTTGATCATTAGTTTAAATCTGATCAGGATTAATTAGTCAGGGTCCTACCAGTGCTAACATCTAATGTTGGGCTTTCCTAACACATTAAGCGAGATGGAATGAAATGGGGTTTAACATCGTGCTCAAGATTATTGCACTCAACCCTCATGGTGCCTGGCCATCAGCTGGCTTTGCCTACCACTCAATGCCGCACTGTGAAGACATTGATGTTCAAAAACGTATACATTGTATCAAAAGTGTAACAACATTCTTATTTCTTGCACAGTGTAACCAAATTTGTAAAACATTCAACTCAAGTTGATCATCTTTCCAACAGTTTCTAAATTCAGCAAATCCAACAGATCTATGCACTGCCTAGCCTTCGCTAAAAGTGCCGGTATTGTAAGTTTCCTACTTTTCTTCATTAATTGAAATATAGAAACACCGAATGTGGCAACTAAAGTCAAGTAAGTCCCCTTGTTTGAAATGTAAATGACCAAAAATTCATATCATTGCAAAGTACATATCCTAATGATAACATTTATTTCAAAGTATACATTCACTGAGTGACAGCATGTCTGTCTGTCTGTATCTCTGCTTGTACTTGTCTGGACTAATATCCCTTTTACAGTGCTAGCCCATTGAGATACCATGCCGCAGTTTAAACATGGATACCCTACTCAGACACAGTATACTGACTCCAAGCCAACCAGTCCTTGTTTTAGCCCCTTGATGCCGAGTGCCAGACAGGGTAACAACAAGTACCATCTGTTAAGTCTTTTGGTATGACCTCAGCCATTTAAGGAGAGTTGATTGTTTGTACGCTATATGTGTACAATCGGAACCTTTTTTTTAAATTTTTTTTTTAGGTTTGTTGGATGGGGTGAGTGGGGGTGGAGAATGTTATCATGTGTACAATCAACAATCAAAAACCTCAGTGTAATAGGTGTGTGGCTGCTTGTACTTGTCCGGACTGATGCCGATTTATAGTGCTAGCACACTGAGATACCATGCCGCAGTTTAATATCAATACCCCACTCAGACACAGTATACTGATTCCGAGCCGACCAGTCCCTGTTTTCAGTCCCTTAATGCCGAGCGCCAGGCAAGGTAACAACAAATACCACCTTTTAACGTCTTTTGGTATGACGCAGCCGGGAATCAAACCCGGGACCTTCCACACTCTGGGCTGACGCTCTACCACTAGACCCAGAGGTGGTCTGTAGTGTAATAACATGTCCACAACATATGGTGTTTTAAGAAACTCCTTTGGTGCAATAATCATGATCATGTTGATGAAGTAATGTCAGGAGCATATTGCACTGATGTTACCATGGTTACTCCCTCAAGGAAGCTTTCACTACTTCTTCATTTCTTCCATACGGAACATGGGGGTGGAACATGGTTTATAACTAAATCTAAATGGCAATTGGAAAGACAATGCATATAAACAGTGTGATCGGTTGGGGGTCAATATGTAGAGAATATCATATGAGTGTTCATGTCACGATGTTTACGACACAAGAGACTAGAGTGACTAAATTCTGGTATTTCCCGAGCGAGAATATAATGTTCTATTTATTACCGAAGAAGATGTCTACATACAGAGTCAAAGTTTAGCATTTACCTATTAGGATACAAGTCACAACAGCAGCGGAACCACAATTTTTCAAATGACGTCTACAATCTCCAGCTATGACGTCATGTCAACAATGCCGTCCGGATGACAGAAACAATACACTGTTGTCTCGTGACGTGATATGACCCAAGGGCATATATGATTTTTATGAACCCCGATGTGTTTGAACTTGTAGATAATAAATGAGTCATGATACGATACATATCAAAACAGTTAATTTGCACCTTTTTGTATGAAATTCAAATGTTTCATGTGGCTTGGCTAAAATAGGTTCATGAATAGCTAATCTATGCTGGTTCCAACAGCATTATGTAATCAGATGTGGCATACTGTTTTGTGATTGGCGGTTAGGTGATGCTGCTCCGATTTGTTATCAGGCCAGGTTATTACAAACTTCAAACCGGTGAACACTTTTTGAAAACTGATTTAGAATTATAACATGAATGGATGCATGAGTAGACGTATCATGTACCATATCAGGTGAAATTTCTCAATTAATCGCTACACCTATAGTGGTCAATAATATCCCAGACTTATCACTGGGGCAGCAGGTCTACTTGAGCCTGGGACATGGGAAGTGTAAGTTGATACTAAAATATGGAATGTTTACGCATCACGTCCCGCATGACACACAACCAACAAAGATTGTACTGAAGTCCTGTGGAAAAAATTGAGTTGTATTGACAAATTTGAAAACATTTTAAAAATGTTAAAATCTTAAATACTTGAGATCAATCAAAATACAAATGTTTGCTATGAAACAATATCATCATTACCTGCTCCATTGGGACAATTATATATACATGTTTCATATATACACATATATATACATACATGTTTCATATATACATATAGAGAATCTCACCCGAGTGTCTTTTGATATCAAATATATCAACACGAGTTGATAAAAGTGGTAAAACTCCGAGGCTTCCCGAGACACTCGGTAACGCGGGTGACATTTTATCTATATCATCCAATATCATTCTTCCAACTTTTTCAGTTTGAAGACAATGCCTACAATGTAGATATTGCTCCATCTCACACAAGCGATACCTCCTGTGGGACCCAGTTTTGGATGATAAATATAAATATACAGATCCTTGTCCATTCTGAATCAATGCAGTTGACATTAGGATTGGCTGAAACAAAATGAAGAAATTGTTTTCAAGCAAACACATTTTTAAACTGGTGCCTGTCAGCATGTTATAATCTGCATCCCACTTCCATCTCAGCCAAGACAGCGAACATCAGTAACAGGAGCAGGAGGAGAGATCACTTCTGTATTCCCACTGGTTGCCATAAAAACCAGCACAGCTGAAGCCCCCCGGGCCCTTCCAGCCAAAGTCTGGTCCAGTGATCACATAGTCCGGGACCAGGTTAGAGAACTGCAACAAGGAGTAGAGCCAACAGCAGTTAGCAGTGTGTCAGCAGCAATCAGCAGTGTGTCAGCAGGAGTCTGCACTAGTAAACACTAGTTAGCACTAGTCAGCAGGAGTCTGCACTAGTTAGCAGGAGTATGCATTAGTTAGCAGGAGTCTGCATTAGTTAGCAGGAGTCTGCACTAGTTACCCGGGGTCTGCAGTAGTAAGCACTAGTTAGCAGGAGTATGCATTAGTTAGCAGGAGTCTGCATTAGTTAGCGGGAGTCTGCACTAGTTAGCAGGAGTCTGCATTAGTTAGCAGGAGTCTGCACTAGTTACCCAGAGTCTGCACTAGTAAGCACTAGTTAGCAGGAGTATGCATTAGTTAGCAGGAGTCTGCACTAGTTAGCAGGAGTCTGCATTAGTTAGCAGGAGTCTGCACTAGTTACCCAGAGTCTGCACTAGTAAGCACTAGTAAGCACTAGTTAGCAGGAGTCTGCATTAGTTAGCAGGAGTATGCATTAGTTAGCACTAGTTAGCAGGAGTCTGCACTAGTTAGCAATAGTTAGCAGGAGTTTGCACTAGTTAGCAGGAGTCTGCACTAGTTAGCAGGAGTCTGCATTAGTAAGCACGAGTCTGCATTAGTAAGCACTAGTTAGCAGGAGTCTGCACTAGTTAGCAGTAGTTAGCAGGAGTCTGCACTAGTAAGCAGAAGTCTGCATTAGTTAGCAGAAGTCTGCATTAGTTAGCAGAAGTCTGCACTAGTTAGCAGGAGTCTGCAATAGTTAGCACTAGTTAGCAGGAGTTTGCACTAGTTAGCAGGAATTTGCACTAGTTAGCAGGAGTCTGCAATAGTTAGCACTAGTTAGCAGGAGTTTGCACTAGTTAGCAGGAATTTGCACTAGTTAGCAGGAGTCTGCAATAGTTAGCAGGAGTCTGCATTAGTAAGCACTAGTTAGCAGGAGTCTGCACTAGTTAGCACTAGTCAGCAGGAGTCTGCACTAGTTAGCAGGAGTCTGCTCTAGTTAGCGGGATTATGCACTAGTCAGCAGGAGTCTGCACTAGTTAGCAGAAGTCTGCAATAGTTAGCAGGAGTCTGCACTAGTTAGCAGGAGTCTGCACTAGTTAGCAGGAGTCTGCTCTAGTTAGTGGGATTATGCACTAGTTAGCAGGAGTCTGCAATAGTTAGCACTGGTTAGCAGGAGTCTGCAATAGTTAGCAGTAGTTAGCTGGAGTATGCACTAGTTAGCACTAGTCAGCAGGAGTCTGCACTAGTTAGCAGTAGTTAGCAGGAGTCTGCACTAGTAAGCAGTAGTTAGCAGGAGTCTGCACTAGTAAGCAGAAGTCTGCACTAGTTAGCAGAAGTCTGCACTAGTTAGCAGGAGTCTGCACTAGTTAGCGGGAGTATGCACTAGTCAGCAGGAGTCTGCACTAGTTAGCAGTAGTTAGCAGGAGTCTGCTCTAGTTAGCGGGATTATGCACTAGTTAGCAGGAGTATGCACTAGTTAGCACTAGTCAGCAGGAGTCTGCTCTAGTTAACAGTAGTTACCAGGAGTCTGCTCTAGTTAGCAGTAGTTAGCGGGAGTCTGCACTAGTAAGCAGTAGTTAGCAGGAGTCTGCTCTAGTTAGCAGTAGTTAGCAGGAGTCTGCACTAGTTAGCAGTAGTTAGCAGGAGTCTGCACTAGTTAGCAGTAGTTAGCGGGAGTCTGCACTAGTAAGCAGAAGTCTGCACTAGTTAGCAGAAGTCTGCACTAGTTAGCAGGAGTCTGCACTAGTTAGCGGGAGTATGCACTAGTTAGCACTAGTCAGCAGGAGTCTGCACTAGTTAGCAGTAGTAAGCAGGAGTCTGCTCTAGTTAGCAGGAGTATGCACGAGTTAGCAGGAGTATGCACTAGTTAGCACTAGTCAGCAGGAGTCTGCACTAGTTCGCAGTAGTTAGCAGAAGACTGCACTAGTTAGCAGTAGTTAGCAGGATTGTCACACCATTGTTTGCAGATTTTATTTGTTTTCTCCATACTGATTATAAAAAAACAAAGTTTAAAGTTAAGATAATTAATATAATCAGAATTGTATTAAACCTAAAATACCATAATGCAAAGATCTTTTTGCCCTTCTCAAACTTTCTTGTTAATAAGCCCTTTATACTTACTGGTGACCTTGCCATTGGTGGAATAGTAGGCGTGGCAAGGGAGATAATGTCCATCAATCCTTCTTTAGACAATCCCATGAGCACCAAGGCAAGATGGCGCCGACCATTAGGAGCCAGTGTGAGGACACCTGTCCGTTGCTCCGAGAACTTGCATTTCCCCAACCTCGCTGTTTCTCCAGAATCTGTCACACAGCAGAAAAGTTTCTCAGGACTACATTTCCCTTTTGTTAATAAGGTGTTTAAAACATACATGCCGCGAAGAGGACAAATAAACCATTAATACAGGATTCTTAAGCAATGTCTTTTTCATGTTGTCAAGTCTAAACAGACGACATGAGGTGGGTTTGATGTCTTAGCAACATCTGCTGCCTGGAAATCTGATGTCAGGAGGTTCTCTATGTATCTACAGACTCACCAAAGACAGACAGACCCAGTCCAGTAAGAGTCATGGACGTCAGGAGGTTCTCTATGTATCTACAGACTCACCCGAGACAGACAGACCCAGTCCAGTAAGAGTCATGGATGTCAGGAGGTTCTCTATGTATCTACAGACTCACCAGAGACAGACAGACCCAGTCCAGTAAGAGTCATGGACGTCAGGAGGTTCTCTATGTATCTACAGACTCACCCGAGACAGACAGACCCAGTCCAGTAAGAGTCATGGATGTCAGGAGGTTCTCTATGTATCTACAGACTCACCAGAGACAGACAGATCCCTTCTAGTAAGAGTCATGGACGTCAGGAGGTTCTCTATGTATCTACAGACTCACCAGAGACAGACAGACCCAGTCCTGTAAGAGTCGTGGATGTCAGGAGGTTCTCTATGTATCTACAGACTCACCAGAGACAGACAGACCCAGTCCTGTAAGAGTCGTGAATGTCAGGAGGTTCTCTATGTATCTACAGACTCACCAGAGACAGACAGACCCAGTCCAGTAAGAGTCGTGAATGTCAGGAGGTTCTCTATGTATCTACAGACTCACCAGAGACAGACAGACCCAGTCCTGTAAGAGTCATGGATGTCAGGAGGTTCTCTATGTATCTACAGACTCACCAGAGACAGACAGACCCAGTCCAGTAAGAGTCGTGAATGTCAGGAGGTTCTCTATGTATCTACAGACTCACCAGAGACAGACAGACCCAGTCCTGTAAGAGTCATGGATGTCAGGAGGTTCTCTATGTATCTACAGACTCACCAGAGACAGACAGACCCAGTCCAGTAAGAGTCGTGGATGTCAGGAGGTTCTCTATGTATCTACAGACTCACCAGAGACAGACAGACCCAGTCAGTAAGAGTCATGGATGTCAGGAGGTTCTCTATGTATCTACAGACTCACCAGAGACCGACAGACCTAGTCCAGTAAGAGCCATGGATGTCAGGAGTTTCTCTATGTATCTACAGACTCACCAGAGACAGACAGACCCAGTCCAGTAAGAGTCGTGGATGTCAGGAGGTTCTCGTTGGGACTTCCCAGGAGAATTATGTTTCTCTTGTCTACCATGTCAGGGGTGACATCGGTGTCACGTACAATACTGGCGGTGGTGTCGGATGTCAGGTAGAACTGGTTAGCGATGTAGACAGCTGACGTCAAAAGCGTGTGGCTTTTCATCATTGACCCTTGGGTACCTGAGGCATGATTTTGCCATGGAAAATTATGTTTTATCTATTTTAACTATTTTATCAAATATATTGTTCTAGTCATGCTAAATCACATAAACATATAAAAACAATATGTACCTAAACAATCAACACTCAAGTCAATATAACTTGCTTTGCATTTTTGTAGGTGACCAAAATAATGTCTGAGGCAGTTCACTATTTTGACATGGCTTTGCATGTGTTTGTGATAGATACCACGAGTTGAGTAGGACACATTCACCTTTTGGCGAAAGGTGTTGAGTAGTTGAGTAGGATACGTTCACCCTTTGGCGAACACCTGGTGTCATCACTATTTGATAACAATTCATAAACACATGCAAATAATATAGTCAGAATCGTACAATGGATTTCTTATGATTATGGAAAGGGTTTCGTTGCTTTTATTACATAGCAATGTTCCACCCATCAGCTTGTACATCATCAGGTCTGGACCAAGAAACCAGTGATTAAAGCATGACCAACAACAGCCGCCATCTTGGAACCATTCCGCACATTCGGACACAGAGCCTGACCATCCCATCCCCACTTGACAACAAAGTACTGGGGAACAGATATCTTCCCTGCAATCCCGCCAGAGGGCCAACTGTAAGGGGTGTGGTATGGTAGGGCATGCCAACCTTTTGCAAACAACCTGTGAAGATCCGGGGTAGAATAGGTCTTCAGCAACCCATGCTTGACGTAAAAGGCGACTGTGCTTGTCGTAAGAGGCGACTAACGGGATCAGGTGGTCAGGCTCGCTAACTTGGTTGAAGCATGTCATCGATCCCAATTGTGTTGATCGATGCTCATGATATCAACCACTGGATTGTCTGGTCCAGACTCGATTATTTACAGACCGCAGTCATATACCTGGAATATTGCTGAATGCGGCATAAAACAACAAACCAACAAACTAGGGCTGGGACGGGTAACTCGGGTACTCGGGTCGGGTGGGTCCTGAGTAGGACCCGGGTACCCACATGACTACACGGACCCGTGGTTAGTCACGTAACATACTGTTTAATGACATTAACAATAAAACTCAATGGTTACACTACAAGTATAGCACTTTCTCACTATGCAGGCATCCGTTCTGACTTTTATATGTTCAAGTAAGGATAAAGCGTCTATCAACTGCAGATTATACATGATCAGATTGTTTTATACAAGTATCTAAATAGTTTTTGCCAGGGCTGCGGTAAAACAATTCCCATTCGTACATTTTGTACCCAACTCTTGAGACCTATAGCGGGTATCTGGGTAGGGCCGGGTAATAGGGTGGCAGGTACCCAGGTAGTAAATTTTGACTCGTCCCAGCCCTACAACAAACCAACCAACCTTTTGCGAACACCTGGTGTCGTCACTGATTTTCAGTGCTCCGTTTATATCATGTTCACAGCTATTACGACAAATGGAATCTGTTTTGTCAGATAATCAAGAATGGTTATTCTCTGGCATTGACATTTTATATCAATTCTTCATAGAGCATAATGTGACAAGAGAACATCATGAAATGTGCACGCTTGTTTCTTTCAAAAGGCAGACAACCTTCTGCAAAAATCATAATTTGTAATGTTACCTCTCTCCTCGCAAGCCCCAGCGTAATGATGTGTTAATTGTTGCCTCACCTACAATGATCAAAAACTGGCGCTCTGCCACTCTCCTGGCAGGCCCTAGGTTGTCCGGGCCTCTCTCACGTCTCTCGTACACGCTGCGATGAACGAACTCCCACTCCCCTGCAAACCAGACAGACAGATTGCAGTGAACGGTATACATTAAAAGTAACATAGAGCCACACATCTGTGAAAGGAAATTTACCTACACAGCTGTGTTACAAAGACACTGATGCATAGTTTTGTTAAATTATGAGTTCAGTTTCCATTGATGAAGTAGGATAATTTGGGGCACTCTGGAAATGTCAAATGAGTGAGTGAGTGAGTGAGTGAGTGAGTGAGTGAGTGAGTGAGTGAGTGAGTGAGTGAGTGAGTGAGTGAGTGAGTGAGTGAGTGAGTGAGTGAGTGAGTGAGTGAGTGAGTGAGTGAGTGAGTGAGTGAGTGAGTGAGTGAGTGAGTGAGTGAGTGAGTGAGTGAGTGAGTGAGTGAGTGAGTGAGTGAGTGAGTGAGTGAGTGAGTGAGTGAGTGAGTGAGTGAGTGAGTGAGTGAGTGAGTGAGTGAGTGAGTGAGTGAGTGAGTGAGTGAGTGAGTGAGTGAGTGAGTTAGTTAGTTAGTTAGTTAGTTAGTTAGTTAGTTAGTTAGTTAGTTAGTTAAATAGTTAGTTAGTTAGTTAGTTAGTTAGTTAGTTGTGGCCCACCCCCCACCACCGCAAAAAAAAAATGGTTTCAAGAGATAATCTCAACACAAATCCATGACCCAAACAGAATTACCTACCATGTCTGTACGGCCTTATTCATCTCAGCTTGAAATCAGCTTCCTACCTACTTTCACATTGATTTCTAACAGTTTTGCTAGTGTCTTAAAATATGCAGGTGATGAGGGCAAAATATATTTGCCCAGGAATAATATGACTCACAGACCAAACAGCAATCATGGAATGAATTGGGTTTAACCAGTACCTAAGCCGTATCATAGTTTACCATTTCAGTGAAACCCAAAGGCATTGGCCAACAATTCAAGTACAATAAACGGAGATCATTTTGGATTTGAAGCCATGACCCGCAGATCCTAGCATTGGATCCTAAACAGGTGCCCCGATATCCGATAGAATGACCACATATTGATGGTGCAGGAATTCAATGTTCATGGAGGAACTATTCATCCAATCCACAGTCATGACAATGGGTTTGGGGGATTCCCTGTAGTAATCCTCACCATCAATCCAGGACAAGTGACTGTCTTCATTCTTGGCCATCTCTGCTAACATGTCTCTGTCCACCGTGAAGTCTCCATCAAGCTACATCAAACAAGACAAGGTATCAGTTACTCACTCACTTCACATGACACAAGACCTGTGAACATCCAGGTTAGAATAGGTCTTCAGTAACCCATGCTGGCCGTAAAAGGCGACTATGCTTGTCGTAAGAGGCGACTAATGGGGTCAGGTGGTCAGGCTCTCTGACTTGGTTGATGCATGTCATCGATCCCAAGTGTGTGGATCAATGCTTATTATATCAATCACTGGATTGTCTGGTCCAGACTTGATTATTTACACACCTGTGAAGTATTGACAATGTAGCATGTCTGGACTCTGAACTACTTTAATAGTGTTTAACGCCACATTCAGCAACATTCTAGCTATGTGACGGCAGTGTGTAAATGATCAAGTCTGGACGAAACAATACAGTGATTGATATCATGAGCATCGATCTACGCATTTGGGATACGATGACATTAAGGATGAACCAACAGATGAATGAAAGAAAGAAAAGACAAACAAAGACCCCCACCTTTATCTCACAATGTTATTTATGTAAGTTTGTTTGTTTATTTGTTTGTTTGTTTAGCAATGTTCCACCCACATGACCGGTCTGTAAATATTCGAATCGGACCAGACAATCAAGTGACTGACATCATGAGCATCGATCCATGCAATTGGGTGGGATATGATGACATGCACATACCAAGTCAGCGAGCCTGACCACTCGATCCCATTAGTCGCCTCTTACGACAAGCATAGGTTGCTAAATATATGAAAACTCTGGCCTCTCTCTCTTAATTACTTGACTCCCATGGCTTACATAAACTGATGACCTCTTAAAAGTAATGCAGTTTGGGTAAAGATAGAGTTTTACATCAATTCCCATGCTAACTTGCTTTGAATTATTTAATCACTGAAATGAGAAATGGGAAGGGGAGAAAGGATGTTCTCAAAATTGTAATTTTTTTATTGACAGATCCATAGGCCAAGCAAATCAATTTGAATAAAAACTCACCCTGATAAATCTTTCCATCCAATGAACTTTTCTCTGTTTGGGCTCCTTAATTCTAAACCTCCACACATTCCTAGTTGTCAGGTGAACAGTATTTCCTGACACTCTGCCCTCCACAGTACTCAGTCTGTATGGGACGAGTTGACTCAGAATTCTCACCCCCCTTAAACCCTCGCCAAAAGCAGGGTTGACTGTCGTCAGTGTGAACTGATCTTCAGCTGCATGCTGGGAGTATTTATTCTCGCCTGAGTCCTCGCCACAGTCATCGTCATCCGTGGAACAACTCCTGCTGTTCAGATGAGAGGTGATGTGCCTGGACTTGAAGTCACGCAGCTGCTGGTCGTTGACCACGCCACCATCGTTCGTCTCCCTGGCATAGAAAGTAGGGCATCCTGAGTCACAAGCATTAATTACTGTGATAATGTATGGTGCTGGTTCACTTAAAGGGAAACTTGACTTGCGTTAACTGGCACTCCCAGCAATTTAATTCTAGTCATTAATGAGAAAAGTCTGCTTGTCTAAAACTGAAACTGAATGATATATACAACTCAAATTTTGATAGTGATGACATGTCATTCTATAAAGAACACACTTGACCCCAAACACACAACCCATCAGACACACCGTGCATCTCCCAAACCCCAAGACACCCAACCCATCTCACCACATGTGACCAAGGACACCCCCTTCGCCAACATGTTCACCAAGACACCTAACCCATCTCACCTCATGTCCCCCACCCCCCCCAAGACACCCCACCCGTCCCCTACCCCCCAAGACTCCCCATCCATCTCACCACGTGTCCCACACCCACCAAGACAACCCGCCCTTCTCACCACGTGTCCCCCAACCACCAAGACACCCAACCCATCTCACCACATGTGACCAAGGACACCCCCTTCGCCCACATGTTCACAAAAAAAAAACACCCATCTCACCACATGTCCCATACCCCCCAAGACTCCCCGCCCGTCTCACCACGTGTCCCCCACCCACCAAGACAACCTGCCCGTCTCACCACGTGTCCCCCACCCACCAAGACACCCTGCCCGTCTCACCACGTGTCCCCCACCCACCATGACAACCCGCCCATCTCGCCACGTGTCCCCCACCCACCAAGACACCCCACCCGTCCCCTACCCCCCGAGACTCCCCACCCATCTCACCACGTGTCCCCCACCCACCAAAACAACCTGCCCGTCTCACACGTCCCTTACCCACCAAGACACCCCACCCATCTCACCACGTGTCCCCCACCCACCAAGACAACCTGCCCGTCTCACCACGTGTCCCCCACCCACCAAGACACCCCACCCATCTCACCACGTGTCCCCCACCCACCAAGACACCCCACCCGTCTCGCCACGTGCTCCCACCCACCAAGACAACCTGCCTGTCTCACCACGTGTCCCCCACCCACCAAGACACCCCACCCATCTCACCACGTGTCCCCCACCCACCAAGACAACCCGCCCGTCTCACCACGTGTCCCCCACTCACCAAGACACCCAACCCATCTCACCACGTGTCCCCCACCCACCAAGACAACCTGCCCGTCTCACCACGTGTCCCCCACCCACCAAGACACCCTGCCCGTCTCACCACGTGTCCCCCACCCACCAAGACACCCTGCCCGTCTCACCACGTGTCCCCCACCCACCAAGACACCCACCCGTCTCACCACATGTCCCCCACCCACCAAGACACCCCACCCGTCTCACCACATGTCCCCCACCCACCAAGACACCCCGCTCGTCTCACCACGTGTCCCCCACCCACCCAGACGCCCTGCCTGTCTCACCACATGTCCCCAAGACACCCCACCCGTCTCACCACGTGTGCCCCACCCCCCAAGACACCCCATCCGTCTCACCACGTGTCCCCCACCCCCCAAGACACCCCATCCGTTTCACCACGTGTCCCCCACCAACCAAGACACCCCGCCCTTCTCACCAAGTGTCCCCCACCCCCCAAGACACCCCATCCGTCCCCTACCCAAGACACCCCATCCGACTCACCACGTGTCCCCCACCCCCCAAGACATCCCGCCCGTCTCACCACATGTCCCCCACCCACCAAGACGCCCTGCCTGTCTCACCACATGTTCCAAGACACCCCATCCGTCTCACCACGTGTGCCCCACCCCCCAAGACACCCCATCCGTCTCACCACGTGTCCCCCACACCCCAAGACACCCCATCCGTCCCCTACCCCCCAAGACACCCCATCCGACTCACCACGTGTCCCCCACCCACCAAGACACCCGCCCGTCTCACCAGGTGTCCCACCACCAGTGCTCCTTGCCAGCCAGCTCGGTGTAGTTGACCGGCACTCGGTACTCCTGCAGCAGACGGTACATCCGCCGCACGAAGAAGGGGTGGACAGTCCGGTCACCACCCCCAATACGGGCCAACACCGGGACGTGCTGGAATGAATTCATATCACCTTGAAACGTACCCTGCCATCATCTATCAATGTTTGCATACATATTTCAATAGTTCACAGGTAAATTCAGTCAGGGAACAATGGCTCCCATGAATCACAATCTCATTAAAATCAGAACCTTTTCTCCTATACCTGTCTAGGTAAACATAGAAGGCTGAGTCAGGTGAGTCCTCATCTTCCCGAGGCAAGGGCGTTAACTGACTACAAAAGTCCAGTTTCCACCCTTGCCGAACTACGCTGGAATTTCATGGCTCGACCGCAGTGCCACTGACTTACGAGTTATGTCCCTTCTATGTCCCTCACTTGCATTTGCTTCAAACAAAATGGTGGTGCCCAGTCGAGGCAATCAGATTGATAATCAAGATCTATATTGTAATAAAACAGGTCTTACCTCGCGAAGTGCATCAAAGAAGTGATTAAAAACATGGAAAGATTTGGAAAATCTTTGTCGATGCCCAGTAGACGGTACACATGCTATGCAAATCTTTCAGTCGATCGAAATCTTCACATTGAAATCATCGCACCTGATGTCTAGTTCGTTGCGTGATTTTGCCAAAATGTAACTCCGGAATTCCAGCCTAGTTTAGCAACGGTGGAAAAAGGACTTTTATAGTCAGTAAACTCCCTTGCCTTGGGAAGATGGTGGACCCTGACCAACGAAAACCGGCACAGAACACAAATATACCCGCCATAGTAACCCTTTTGGGAGTAGATAGCATGGCCTCACAAATGACAGGATGAATAACATATCCACAACAATATTATAGCCCAGCATCATATTTTCCTTGATGATATTTGTTTTCATGATGCAGAAATAAGATATGCTTGTCTGAATGTTTTGCTCAAGTGTACCGAGAATTTAGAAGACTCAACACTGATCAGAAAGTCGCCCTTATACGACCTCCTTGGGATGAGGTGAGGTGAAATTGGCTTTAATATCCTGTTCATGATTACTACCCTTATATAGCGATGTGCTTCACATGTGTGTGTCTTTTGGTATGACACGACTGGGGATCAAACCACCTACTTTCCACTCTTGGGGCAGACGCTATATCCACTAGACCATGGAGGCGGTCACTATGGAGGTGACCTCACATTTTTATGCAGAGAGGTTTCATATCGGAGCCAATGATCGGATTTTAATAAGATTGTATCAATCATAGACAAATTCAGCATTCCAAAATGGAACATATCCTTTCCATGGTCATACTAGGATAAAATGCATCAATCTTGTAGCCCTGGTATAACTGTCATCTTGGAAAAAGCTATCAGCATATTAAAACCCTCTCAAGCGACACATTTTTTTCAGTGACTCTATGGACAAGCATAGTTGCCATTTACAGCAAGCATAGGTTGCTTAAGACCTATTCTCTACCCGGGATCTTCACGGGTTCCAAGCAATGATGTTGGTTGTTTGTTGTTTTAATGCCTCACTCAGCAATATTCCAGCTATATGATGGCGGTTTGTAAATAATCCAGTCTGGACCAGACCATCCAGTGATTAACATCATGAGCATCAATCTACACAATTGGGACACGATAAAATTCATCAGCCAAATCACCAAGCCTGACAACCCGATCTCATTAGTCGCCTCTTACGACAAGCACGGGCATCTTTCCGAGGCAAGGTGTTAACTGACTATGAAAGTCCAGTTTCAACCCTTGCCGAACTAAGCTGGAATTTCCAGGTTCAATCGTAGCGCCACCAGTGGCTATTACGACTTATGTCCCTTCCGTGTCCCTCTTATTGACCAATAAGATTCCATCGCACAGATCGCTCTGGACGATAATCAAGAGCTATATTGTAATAAAATGGGTCTCACCCCACGAAGTGCATCAAATCATTTGAGCACCTGGATTAAAAACATGAAAATATTTGCAACATATCTGTTGACGCCAAGTTGGCGGTACACATGCTTTGCAAATCCTGCAGTCGACTGAAATCCTCACTTTGAAATCCATGTTGTTTACGAAGTGGATGTCTAGTTCGATACGCAATATGTTTTTTTTACTATGCATGGACTCGTTGGTCCAGGCAAAAAATACTCCAGAATTCCACCCTAGTTCAGCAAGGGTGGAAACTGGACTATTATAGTCAGTTAACTCCCTTCGGCTTTAACAAAAAGAAAAGAATTACTTCTCAGGCAATTGCTTTTGAAAATATAGTGCGGGCGGGCATTGTTTGTTTGTTTTTTTGTTGTGCAAACTAGTATATTACCAATTAAACAGCTGTGTCACCACATAAACAGTTGTGTTCAATCAACCTGGGAAAGGGCCTCCCTACATAAACGTATTCCTTGATGAGTAACATATGGGAATACAGTATCTGACTACCGTTGGACTTGGAATATTTAAGGATTTTTATTTAAAAAATGGAAATAAAAACGAAATGTGCAGCAAACTTTGTGATAATGCGGGCGGTGCCTGAGAACCAAGACTATTAGTTTTTTTAGTCTTGCCTCAGGGAGATGAAGATGAAGATGAAGACCTATTCTACCCTGGATCCTGTTATTCACTCTCACGGCAAGCATAGTCGCCTCTCACGGCAAGCATAGTCGCCTCTCACGGCGAGCATAGTCGCCTCTCACGGCGAGCATAGTCGCCTCTCACGGCGAGCATAGTCGCCTCTCACGGCGAGCATAGTCGCCTCTCACGGCAAGCATAGTCGCCTCTCACGGCAAGAATAGTCGCCTCTCACGGCAAGCATAGTCGCCTCTCAAGGCAAGCATAGTCGCCCTTCACGGCAAGCATAGTCGCCTCTCACGGCAAGCATAGTCACCTCTTACGGCAAGCATGGGTTGCTCAAGACCTATTCTACCCCAGATCCTCACGGGTAAGACAGAGGCCCTAACTTCAGGTCGGCCTTGCTATGGTGTATGTTCTATTCTTGACTTCCCACAATGCCCTGTAGGTCATTACCTGAAGATTGGAGACATGTCTGTCAGCATCGTTCTCCCCAATACATGCCTCCATGACGGCCTTGACCGCTGGGTCAGTATGACTGGTTGACAGGTCATGTCTGAAATGAAGCGAGAGAGTCAACATCGCAATGCACAGTATCATAAATATATCATGTCCGTTTGACATGTGATGAAATCCCAAACCGATGCAAGTCTCAGATGTTTACCACTTTGATGAAACCCATAAGCACAGAACTCACGATCCTAAGTTTCTTGCACACCAAAGGGACACAACTCTGCAGAATAAATTGTGGCACCTCAGAAGAAAAGGCAAACTTGTGCTCCGAACTGTTCAAAAAAAAAGACTTAATTGTTTATTATCCAGAGCTACGAAGTGAAAGGGGAATATAGGAATGGGTGCTGTCCAACCGTCCTTCCGTCACGTTTTGTTACCGGAGCAGAACTAAAAACCCATGAGAGATATCTTAACCAAACTTGGCACATAGATAGATCTTGTGGTGAACTGGTGCCTTTTGATAGTTTGGGGTATTTCAAAAATTTATTTTTCAAATTTCCAAAGCGACAACTTTGACTTAGATTGAAAATGGTGGTAGTGCTGGCTTCCTGAGCCAATCTTGAAACCCGTTAATAGTTTGGGGTATTTCAAAAATTTATTTTTCAAATTTCCAAAGCGACAACTTTGACTTAGATTGAAAATGGTGGTAGTGCTGGCTTCCTGAGCCGATCTTGAAACCCGTTAATATTTCTTGCCTTGCACAAAACCAGACATAGTGGCAGGGGATATGATTATTCCATGCTTGTTTGAAAAGATAAATCTGGTAATTATGTTGAAAGTGTCTCCTCACTTGAAGAACAGGTTGCTGTCTCCGTACTCCTCCTTCTTAATCCAGCCCGCCAGGGACACTAGGGCCAGCGCCCGGTCAGGGAAGTGGGTCGCCAAGTGCCACGCCCCGTGACCCCCCATGGAGTGGCCTATCACAGAGGCATATATGATTTTATTCACTGGAAAGTCTACAGTCCATATTATGAGTTGTAGCAGCATCACGAGGGGTAGATGGGGTTTTATGTATTCCATGTTACGTTTTATACCACAAGCTGCAGGCAAGTGGTATCAAACTTAATGAGGGATGCATAAAACCCCATGTACCCCTCGTGATCCTGCTACAATGAATTTAACTTACCAACATGTTTTAAAATGACATTGTAAAAGAATTAAAACAAACTCAAAATTGATAGAAAACAGCTGTTCGATTGAGCAGAGATTAGCTTGTGCTATGTCACGTGACTTTCAATGACTCGGAAAAAGTGTGCGGCTTTTTGCATCGAAGTGGGGTATAAGGGATTTATTCTGCCTCTTAGAAATCCATGTGCAGCCTGTCTTCTGGTGGCGGGGTATAAGAGATTTATTCACCTGCTGAGAAATTTATTTCCCTCCAAGGCAGGATACGTAGTACTTAAAACAGATCATGTGGACCAGATCTCATCATTCTCACATGGAGGTATGATAAATGCTTTTGGACATATTTTGTGTCCAAAATAGTAAAATATTGTGTACATTTCTCGGTCTGGCACCTTTCCATGCTTGGTGAGATGCTGTTATAAAAGTTATTCCTTGACTATATGAGGGATGGGTGAAGTTACCTGCAAATATGACATGGTGTGGGTCTGCCTTGTCCTCTATCCAGGCCGAGTCGTGGACAATATCTGTCAGGGCAAACATGGCCGACATTGCTGTCAGTGCACCAGGCCCCTCCCAGTTGTGGGCTCCATGTCTGACAGGAAGTAAAAGAATTTGTGTGAACCTCACAGATGTGAACTCAAAGTCAAAAGTGAATGTGATCACATTAATCTATAACAAAATACCAAAATACAAGAAACATCATTGTTCCACATTCAATATGTTTATCACATATCAGAATGCATAATGCACATGATACAAGCAAACATGGCCGTGAAATGGGCAAAAAATATTTTTCCAATATAGCTGCCATGGATCTCAATACAATAATTAACAGCCCTTTATGCTTTCATCAAAGATGTCATCTTCCCGAGGCAAAGAGATATTTTGAAAATCTTTTCTTTTTTAATCAAGCTGTTCAAGTGATTTGATCCACGTTGTAGGGTAAGACCCATTTTATTATCGATTATGATCAGATCCTCTTGACTGGGCACCGCCATTTTGCAAATGCAAGCGATATGAGAAATTAAATCTGATTGGTCAGTAGGAGGGACATAGAAGGGAACATAACTTGTCATTGCCACTGGTTGCGCTATGATTGAGCCTGGAAATTCCAGTCTAGTTCAGCAAGGGTGGAAACTGGACTTTTATAGTCAGTTAACGCCCTTGCCTCAGGAAGATGAGAAGATGTCAACATGGTAAAACTTTACAACAGTTAAGGGGAGCTAAAAGGAGAATTTTATTTTGATACATAATATAAATTGTTCGGATTATGTCTCTACCTTGTAGGTGCTACAAGCCAAGCATGCTCAACTCCAAACTCGAACTCCTTGTCCACCATTTTCTTGTAACTGTCAGCCTGGTTTTGTGGTGGTACTGTCGTGCCATGAAGAGACAATACGATCGGACAGAGCTGGCCACTACATGATCTGATTGGTTGAACCGCTGCCCCATGCTGTATTGACCCGTCATGGTCCAAAAATGTGAACAGGAAAGACTCTCCTGCTTTGCGACATCGTATATTGAGCGGAAAGTTCTCTTCCCCCTCTGATGTGGATATGGCTATCTCAACTTCTATGTCCCGACAAGAAGATAATATTTTCGGAGATTTATTTATGATTTTAACATGGAAAGGCCTGATTTGCCCAGGTGCCAAAGCAAGTTCGTTTTTCAAAGGTTTCATTTCGAGCATCTCTCCTTCTGACTGGTCTGTGACCATCAAACGAAAATTTTTTACCCATCTGGTCGGATGATAATTTGCTACAGGTATAGAGATGTATCTGCCAAATATATTACCATTGTATAAGTCAGGAAGGAAGGTTGGGGCTAACACTTCAAAGTTTTTCGACATGGTTGTTAAAACACAGTTAAAAGTTGCCGATACCTTTGCCCTCAGCCTAATATGGAGTGAATGTATCCCTCGACTGAGACCGACGCCAAATGAAAATTTACTTCGATGATATAAATCCCCAACATACAACATCCCATCCACATACACAGAGCTTACGCCCATACACTGGACGATGAAATTTAAATGGTCTACATTGACGGCAAAATCTCCAACTATCCATCCCTGCCATTCAGTTATTCCCATCGACCCAAGCGAGCTCACAAGGTCATTCCAGTTGACCTTTGGTGTGACCTTTAACATTTGATCCTTCGACTTTTGGTGGTATGACATCCAATTCACTTCACCCTCTGGTACCAACTCAGAAAAGAATTTGCTCTCTTTACGAAAACGGTATTTTGAGACATTTCTTATTCCACCAAATGCCTCAATTGGATCTCCATCCAGTTCCATTTTGCCAATCACAAATGGTCCAATAAAATTCCAGTCTTTAATGAATGGCGTGTATTGTCCTGTGTATTTGTTGGCTTGTTTAAAGCATGCATTGATTTGGGAGGCTACTGGATCTTTCCTGAGAAGGTATATATTCCCAAGGACGGACCAAAGGAAACCATCGTCTGGGTAGTCCAAGAGATACTGGATGATGCAACGGGCTGTGCCATCATCCTGAAAATAGCAGAAAAAACAAGCATGAAATACTCATATCCCCTGCCCATATGACATTTCCAGTTGTGTGCAAGGAAAGAAATATTTACAGTCTTCAAGATCTGCTCCGGAAACAAGCACTACCACCATTTTCAGCCTAAGTCAGAGTCATTGTTATGGAAACTTGAAAAAATATTTTTTTTAAATCCCATACTATCAAAAGGCACCAGTTCAACACTAGGCCTATTTATGTGCCAAGTTTGGTTAAGATATCTTTCATGTTTTTTTAGCTCTTCTCCAGAAAAGAAAGTGATGGACAGATGGACAGCAGCCATTCCTATATCCCCTTTCCACTTTGAGGTGGGGAATAAAAAAGAAGTAATTTTCTGAATATCTCAGTGATGAAGACATCCACATGATTTGACAGAAATCTTCAAAGAGACAATAGTATACTCAGACCTCACTATACCATGTTATACTCAGACCTCACTATATCATGTTATACTCAGACCTCACTGTACCATGTTATACTCAGACCTCACTATACCATGTTACAATGATGCATAGATTGTAGCTCTAGTAACTGCGAAGATGATCTTACTTTCATTATTATATTCACACACCTGAGAGACAAGTCGTATATTCTCTAAGCTTCTGCGAGTCATCTTCTTCAGACTGCATTTAGCACCTTTCTTTGACAGACGTGTGTCTTCATTCTCTAAAAATTCCTTGTATGAAGTCTGAAAGCAGGGGTAGAATTAGTATATATATATATATATATATATATATATATATCAGACAGAAGGTCCAGATAGAAACCATGCATGTACCAGATTATCGTCTCTGGTCCACCAAAACCATTGAATTTTAAGGATATTTGTGTCAGGGACAAAATGAAACAACTATTTGTTTGTCAAAACTTACTGTCTCAAATAATTAATATTCTGACCAAACATGTACACACACACCCTCCTCCCCTTCCAAAGCAATGAGGGGGTGGTGGTGTAGCCTAGTGGTTAAAGCGTTAACTCGTCACGCCTAAGACCCGGGTTCGATTCCCGACATGGGTACAATGTGTGAAGCCCATTTCAGGTGTCCCCCGCCGTGATATTGCTGGAATATTGCTAAAAGCGGCGTAAAACCATACTCACTTACTTACTCAAAAGCAATGCCAAGGGTATATACATTTGGCTCAAAAGATTTGTTTATTGTTTTATGCGGCATTCAGCAATTTTCCAGCAATATTCCAGCAATATCATGGCTGTCTATAAATATCTGACTCTGGGCCAGACTAACCAATGGTTGATATTATGAGCAAATGCCCAGGTAAACAATAAAATAGTTGACGTCACATCCGTAAACAATGGAACAGACCTACTTAAAGCCTTTTTTCAGTTACTGCATTATGTCATGATGTGACAAGTGAATGTATGTCATAAAATGGGTTTTCTTACATTAGAATCCTTCTTTTTAGCTTCACAATTTATAATAAACATGAAAACAACAAAATACAAAATCTTCATCGTGTTGTGTTATTTACACGCTGGCCCCACATTCAGAGCTCCAAACAGGGCAGAGTATATTGCTCCATTGAATCTAATTTATATTGTACCCTGCAGAGAGTTTGCCCAAGAGCCGTTCACGATTGTCGTTAATAAACGGGTCAAATGAATCCAATCGATGTTTAGTCAATTCCATAAATATTATTATGTTGCATAATATGATGATAATGTCAACCAAAACGAGAACCTAACGTATGTTTTTAGCCACGCTTGATGTCGTATAAAATGCAATGTTATAATACCTACCTCAAAACATATAACACTAAATTAAGTGTCAAAGACGTTAGCCTGATACATTGAGACCAACCTATTTTCTGACGCATGATTAAACAAATAATTTCGTACCACCAGATACCAAAACGATACAGATGTAAATAGCTAGGATTAATAGTTAAAAATAGTCAATTTCTTCTCTTGGTTCTGAAGTTATCGAAATGATAATTTACATAAACGGTGTTCCCGTACAAAGATGGTAGCCATTTTTTTTTCATCAAATGACAATGTATGATAAATAGTTGAAAAGGCCCTCTTCCATTAGAACGTCTGTTACAGTGCGTCACATTGGCATATCCTTCGTGATCAAGCTTTCCTTGTGTCATGTTTGTTTTGATTACTTCATCTATTCATGGACCATAAATATATTTAAATAAATGGAAACAATGTTTTTATTTGAAAGATGCTCTGACTATTTCTCTCACAAAACAATTAAAGTAGTTTTCTAAGTTAGTCAATGTCAACAGACGCTTTTCTGGAATATGGGTTGTACGTTTGTTGGATGGTAAATAGTATATACCGGTGTCAGGCGATGTTAGTGGCCAATGGTCAGGAATTGACGGTAGGGTTGTACGTGAAGTGTTTTGATGCATGTAAATGCAGTATATAAGTTATCAACTGATCACGTCGGTATATGAAACCATGGCAGACCAGTCACGGAATTCCTGGATAAAGAAAGGTAAAGTGAATAATCTCTGGCATTTAGTGTTGGAGGTGTCAACAGATCAAAAAAGAAGAAGTTTAGTTTCACCGAGTGAGAGCGACCGGTGTTTGCCAAAATTGCTGTAATAATGTCTGTTATGACTAGCGTTAAAGAGCGTTTCTTGGCAGCGAAATCTGCGTCTACTCACGTGGATTACTGACGTCTCTCCATGCTCACATAGCTGCAGATAATGATGTATATTTTGTGCATAGATCTTGTGAATAATACGTGCATTATCTGCATATTACACTACAGGTGTCTTACATCAGATTTCCGTATTGTGTTTGTGACCAAGGCTATGTTTGTATTACCGTATTCGATGTAATAAGCGCCCCGCTCTAATAAGCGCCCACGGCGATATTCGCTAATATATTGGCTAGTGACCAATCCCAATTAGCACCCCTTCCGATTGATCAATGTTCACAAGACTTAATTATTCGCGTACAATACGCACTCGTGTGTTATATGCACCCTTAATTATGGGCAATTAAATTCTAGAAAAATATATCTGTCGTACATAAACATTTCAGGCTGTCAGCATAAACCACGAAATTTATCTTTCAACTCTGTTTTTTTTCACCAAAATAATATAGTGTTGTGTGAGACGATCTCTACTTCCGTCGGAGACATTCGGTTTCCCTCGGAAGTGTTCGGGCAGCCGAGGCCGAGGTGCACGTGGCCGAGCGCTGCCGGAAAAGGGATCGTCTGCAACGAAGCTTCGAGAAAGGTAAAATCCCTAGTTCTTAGCTAACAGTCGCGGACCGCATTTTAGAATAACACTACGCAGATCGTGCCGGACGATCATACTATTAATTGGCGAAACCATCAGGGCAGTTAATCCCCATATTGTTCGCGGAAGTAAAATCACTACAATTCTAATAAGAGTTCCCTATTTCTAATTTTGAGAGCGCCCTGAGCGCTTATTACGTCGAATACGGTATTTGTTTAATTCAGCTTTGCGTCTTTAGAATGTTTTGTATTTATTCTAGTTATTTCAATATCCATTTCACTTAATTTGTCATCATTTGTGTATTTCTCTGTTAACCTTTAGCCTGCTGAATTATTTTCACACTTCTTACCCCTGCCTGCTGGATTAATTTTAGCATAAGGCGCTCTAAAGAGCGTGGGTGATTTCAAACAGTCGGTGCCTCATTAAACAAGGGCCATTTGAAGAAATATTTTGCACATTTATTCCTGATAGAAAACTACACAATACTATATAAAAATATCCCGATGTTTTCAATCATACCAAGGTTAAGACCAAAGCGAACACAAAATTTGTAAATTTTCTTGAACTTACCTGAATTGCGTTATTGAAGGTGGTTTGCATTTCATGCTAGGAACCTTTTAATATCGTAACATTTGTGCAAATTGATTTCAATAATCATATCTCCGATATCTTAATTTTAATTGAGTAAAGATTCGGGGTTTTTTTATCAGCAAATAACAGCGCGATGGTAAATTAGGAACCATTTCAGTGAATTTATTATCTAAACGTTAAACAGAAAAATAACTTAATTTTCGAGGTCATCATGTCGGTTGCAGAAATACGAATATTCGGGTTAATCTGACGTGTCATGTTATAAAATTTGCAGGAAACAATTAATGACTTATAAATATTCACTAATCCTAATTTCAAGCGTTTTGGTTGAATATTTACGATATACAAAAATAAACAACCCGTGTCATGATGCTAGCAGACGTCCTAAAATCAAACATGGCGCGCTTCGCTCGACCTCCGCATAACTTATTGCTATTTTAATATCAACAAAGTTTACATTGCCTTTAAAAATATAACTTGGCGAAAGTTGACGATATTCTCAATCGAAGAATGTTTTATTCGTCATATTCCAATAAATATGACGAGAGAAAAATGAAAATAAAGATCGTGAATTCTGACAGCACTATTTCAATAAGTGCATAGGTCACCGGATGTGATGTCACAGACAGGGGTAGTCTGCTGATAAGCTTTCGAAACAAAACAATTACAGTAAATTTTGAAATAGTTCGCCTATCACATACAGCAAAAACATAAGTCGATACACAGTATCAGTAATCGCCACTAACATGAAATAAAAATGTGACTTTGACGATATAATTCGCGTATTAGTTAATCCGTTTGACCTTGCATGCTCCCGTGACCCGGAAACGGTAGACGATAAATCAACATGCCACATGCAAGTTTCTCGGTATCTTTTATTTGAACTTCTGTTGATATTTAAGAATCATCATTTAATGTTGTGATTCATATTTCTGTGATGTACACGCTGATAAGTTTCACTACAACAAGTGTATCCCACGTAATACGTCTATGGATATCGTCGATCAGCAAGATCACCCTCAACAACAGGTGCGCGAAAATGGGCTTGACAAAACGTGTTTCAAAATAACATCCCCGCGTTGCTGAATATGATAGGGTACATATAAGCAATAAAATGCTACGTACATATTTTCGGTGTTAGTTCCACATTACATTTAGGATAGTTTTCCTTTAGGGAATACATTCATAGATTCTAGCATGATTTTAGAACAGTTACACGAAGGATTTCTAAATTTATTCCAAAAATATGAAGACCACCATGATTGCGTATTGATGATAGATTTGTAATTGTTTAATTATTTACAGCTGTTTATAGGTTTTAAAATTTTAAGTTGTATTTAATAGTTATTTTTCCCACAATGATGGTGTGTGGGGACAGTAAATATTAGTCTTTGCATCAGCACAGTGTAACTGATCAAACTTCAATTATTATCTTTAGTTTAAACATATTTATTCAACAATTATTATCTTGCACTCTGAAAATCAACTATGTGAATAAGTAACTCTCTGATGTCATCATTTTAATTTAGTATTCCATGAATAATGAAGAAATCAGAGCCTTAACATATACATACAGTACGATACTAAACTCATATGGACATTAATCTTGTGCATTATGTGGTTTGTTTCCAAATAAAACAATTCTGAAATATAATTTAATAGGAACTAATTTAATTTAATTACAGTAACAGTACTTGTAACAGTACATGACATTTTTGTTTGTTTAATCACAAGAACCATGGTGGCACATGAGCTGGTAAGTTTGCCATAGGTTTCTTAGAAAATGCCATCTCAGTCTTCTGGTTGGAATGAAAAGAAACATGCCTGTGTACATGTTTACCCTTGCCAGATGTATTTTTTCCAGTCAGCCAATCCATTACTTTTGTTCACCTTATGTGGTCTATTTTATACATACAGGTACTGCTTCCAACCTGTTTTTTCTTTGCATGCAATCACAGTATCACAACTTCCTCAGCTGGTGTGTATAAAAGTTCCCCTGTCATCATGAAAAAAGAATTATAAAGAAAGTAATATTTTCATTCAAAAACATATCTGTCTTTCCTTGAACACTCTTTGTGTAAGTTCCAGAAATGTCAGTGTCATAAAAAAATTAAAAAAAGATTTTCATAAGGTCTTTCTTAGATAGACCTAGATCTAAGTCAAACCATGTGACTAGTTAGGTAGAATTATAACCTTATAAGCCCTCATTTCCGAGGTGTCCATATTTTTCACATTTTTAGGACTAAACGTGATCTGTGTAGATCTGCCTGTTTTGTTATGTAAAACAAATTCTTGTCTTAAAAAATGAGGAAAGGAATCATTCAGACGAATCTTTTTTTATCCCATTGATTCACGAAAATCAGTTGAAATGTACAGTGGTGACTTTTGTACCCAAAATTTCTAGTAATTTGTTACCCAAATGGGTATGTGATTTTGTAGATCTACCTAGAATTATTTCAAAGATATACATTAATTTTGTGTCTTAAACTTAACATAATATCACTTTCCTATCAAAACAATTCATTCTAACTTAGGTTTAACCAACTTAACTGTGTCCTTCAGTGACAAGACGTCAATTTTCTCTCAACACTAAACAATCAATTTCAAGGATCACAGTCATAATCATATTTGGAACTTGATGAAATATTTTGTTATGTGTTCTGTTCATCTACATGAAAACATAAATATAATTATAGATTATTGTCTTATTTTCTTAGGTACAAATTCACAAAGTATTTTGGGTACAATTCAATTTGTTTTGGGTACAAAATCACATATATAGGAGCCTAGAATCTATATATATTTACACTAGCCTATCTCGTTGTGTACCAAACTTTTATCGGTTCAGAGGACGGGAGGTTCTCAGAAAGTTTTCAACAACATCTTTAATATTTAAATTGTTCTTTTTGTAATGTTAGACCAATAATAATATTATGTTATTATTATGGCATATCAATACGTTGTATCGCTCTCCGTTGCGTTCGTTTTTAGAAAATATTTTAAAATTAAAATCATCGAGCGTGAAATCCATTACGGTTTCGGATTTAGACTTACACATTTGATGGCGACAATCACGAAGAAATATGAAGCAAATAGGAGTGAACACTGCTCTCCAGATCAATAAATAGTAAATAGTTGACGAAAAATAGTCAATTATGTATTTTCTTTTGAATTTGAATCTATTTCGGAGTTTCTTTATGATAGCTTACCAACGTTTGCATATTTTGCTTCCATGTGTCACATGCGGTACGTGCTTCCGGTTTCAGAAATGATAGCTAAAATTGCAAGTATTTTGATTATTTCTCGTAAAATGCATTATTTTGCTATTGAATGGTTAACCTAGAATGTATATCAGTTCAGATTTTGCGTATCATCCAATATTTGTCATTTTTCGCAGTGTTTGTTGACTTTGATCAACTCAACAAATCCCGAGTTAGGCCACGCCCAAACGTATCACTGACGTTTGTCGGCTTGTCAATGTGTCGGAAAGTTTTTCAAACGAAATCATTTGCAAACTCTTTAAAAATGAAATTCTTTTCACAAAGTTTTATACATACGTGTCAATAATTCTAGAAAATTAAGTTAGATGTAACAAAATGATTGTAATAGTCTAACGGGATAACTATGCATGTGGAGTTGTTTGTTTACCGCCGTTGCCATGATCGTACAAGTTCCATCCAATCGATGATGTTACGATTCAGATTGTTTTTGTTTACAATTAGTTACACGAAAGTTGCTAATTTTTAGAAATAAAGGAACATGAGTGTTTTCCTTTCGTCAGCAAACAAAAAAATATGATCGAATAGGAAAAATGATGAAATTATAAAGAAAATATCGGACTGCATGCCGCTCAACGTGAAGTGCCAAAAGTCAACAATGGCCGTTTCTGGTAGTTATTTGTCGAGAAGTTTGGCCGAAACATTTTTAACTCGCGATATTTTCTTTTTGAGGTAAATAAATGACTGAACGTTTTGATATTGAGCAAGCTGGGCATTTATGCATGTCATACGTAATTTAAATGTTACGCAAAGCCTTCTTGGTAAATAGATATGGCGAGTTTTATTTTGGGGTGTTGCTATGCTATTCGCCTGTCGAATGGGTTCGACATCAGATGCACGGGGATGGACACATCTGTCGAATGGGTTCGACGTTAGCGTGCAGAGCTTTAACAATGTAGTTTTACCTGATACAATAAAGTATTAGGTGCCACAGCAAACTTTGGATCAACTGCAGTTCTGGGGTTCCTGCTTTCTGGGGTGTTTGAAGTGCTCATATTAATTCTGCACATGTTAGAATGCCAAAGTCCATTTAAGGGCATTTTTTCAGCAAAGATTGGACTAAAAACAGTCGTCTAAGGCACCACGATTTGCTGTGCAGAGTGGCATCCCTTGGGCATGCCAGAAACCTATGATTGCGGGTTCGAATCCCGGTTTGTCCTGATTATGTTTCTAGGTTTGTCAGCACCATACCTGTGCTTGTGGCTTTCACCGAAGTGGTAAACGTCTGAGACCTACATCACTTGGGGCTTTCCTTCCACAATAAGCTGACATGCCGCGATATAACTGGAATACTGTTAAAAGCGGCGATAAAACCCAACTCACTCACTCACTCGTCCAGTTTTTAGCATGCTTTGTAATGCATTGGGTGTTCAGTCATTCTGCCCCAGGCATCAAACATGTCAAGTCAAACTTCCTGAATAATAATGATAATAATAATACCGTATTCTGACAGCCTGAAATGATTATGTACGACAGATATATTTTTCCAGAATTTAATTGCCCTTAATTAAGGGTGCATATAACACATGAGTGTGTATTATATGCAAATAAATGTCCTGTGTACATTGATCAATCGGAAGGGGTGCTAATTGGGATTTTTCACTTGCCAATATCTTAGCAAATGTCGCCGTGGGCGCTTATTAGAGCGGGGCGCTTATTACGTCAAATACGATAATAATACTTGCAGTATTAAAGCTTCAGTCACATTATCAATAATAATGATAATAATAATAATAATATTTGCAGTATTAAAGCTTCAGTCACATAATCATAATTATGTATCATACAGTATATACAGCCAAAGATTGATTTATATTGTGTGACAAAGCTGTTGATCTTTTTTTCTGCCAAGCTGTGCTGATAATATCAACTGATTGTGACAAGTCTAGTTCTTGCAACAGGTGGTGTTGAATGATTGAGTATTCTAAAATATAATAAGAAGTTATTAACCATTATTAAATTGTTATTATTTACCAGCTTCCTGAAACATTTTTCTCAAACAACATGTACAAAATGTACAAAGTAGCAGATCTCAGCTGATACTTCTGTCAGAGCTTGGTGGGGTATCCTAGTGTTTAAGACCCAGCTGAGTTAGAAATTAAGTTTTTGAATTAAGTCAGTAATAACGGTCTTTGAAAGAGTTGTCATATGCTAATGTAAAAATGGTTTTCCACTAGGACTTAGACTTGAACTAGTGGCACGGCTAACAATGCTTGATTTCAAACAAAAACATTTGGCTTAACAGTCCACATGCTCTGAACATGCTGAAGCTACTAATAATATTTAAAATAACTGGGCCTACTTGCACAAAGCGATCTTAGCGCTACTAAGATGATTGTAACTCCCATACTTTAACATAGGCTTACAATAGTCTTAGTGCTAAGATTGCTTTGTGCAAATGGGCCCTGGTGATTTTCATTTTCTAAAACAAACCTTAGTGATTTAGTGAACACTGTGAAAATATATCTGAAATGGTCCAGTCTGTAGTTTCTTTGCAGAATAGAATATCAGTTTAGTTTTTCTTTCATGCTACAATTAAATTAGTCATACTGTTTTACAGGGATTTATCGAGACATGTTCAGAGGCTGATATTCGGCCCCAAGTCTATGGCAAATGTCATTTAAAAATCCAAAATCGAAATTATAAGTTCCCATTTCATGTTACTATCAATAACTAATAACTAATATTATGGCTAGATTATGTAGATATAACCCAAATTTCACTGACAACAGGACCAATAAATAGGAAGGGGTTTTAATCCAATCTCATGTTAAAAAATAACCCATGAAGATCCGGGTTAGAATAGGTCTTCAGCAACCCATGCTTGTCGCAAAAGGCAACTATGCTTGTAAGAGGCGACGAATGGGATCGAGTGGTCAGGCTCGCTGACTTGGTTGATGCATGTCATCATAACCCAATTGCGTTGATTGATGCTCGTGATGTCAATCACTGGATTGTCTGGTCCAGATTCAATTATTTACAGTCCACCGTCATGTAGCTGGAATATTGCTGAGTGCGGCGTCAATTGACAAACAAACCAACAAATCATGTTAGAATACCTCTTGTTAAAAATAATAAACAAGAATTGCACTTTTTTACACAATAATGATTTTTTTTCATAATTTTATTGCCAGGGGCATTCAGAATCTTGTAAAATTGCCTGCTTTATTGGTTTGTCTGAGATACAATATTTCTGTCCTATACAACCCAGATCTGGTTACCCTCAGACTAATTAAAAGCTGTGACCTTGCTGTGTCTTGGTGCATTGAAAGGTTCATCAGTGTGAAGCCGAGTTTCTGCATGGCTTTTGTATGCCTAACATGAGCTGTGTAGATAGTGGGATATATGTCAGATGTGTATCTCAAGTAGCTCATGTCCCCTGATGGCTATATAACACATGTCACTCAATGTGTAGATGAACCAGGCTCGGTTCTCATGCCGCTCTAGCATGTTAAAAGTGTGACTTAAACTTATCAGTTAGAAACTATTTGCCTGGTGGGTTTGTTATTAGATAACCACGATAATAGACTAGCCAAATCACAAGTTTGAAAAAGCACACAAAAATATGTTTAACATGTTGAAAATTTAAGTTATTTAATATTTTCTTTATTTTATTGTTTTTGATTGATTAAGAAAGTTGGAACAAGGTCAACCCTTCCTCACTTTCCATCTCATGACAATCTATGAAATAACGTCCATTAATGATGTCAAGCAGTTTAGTTGTAGAAGAGTCATGTGGAATAACCAGTGTTTGAAATATTTGCCTGCCCACTAGCCAAATGCCAGTGACTTTTAAATTGGGCTATTAACATTTACGTAAAACTGGCTCGACTGTCTAGTTGAAAATTCTAGTCAATACATATTTATTCCTACGAATCATCATGGCAGTTGAGGTGACATTTAATGGCAAAGTCTTTTGTCATTTTGTTTTCATTTCGTACTTTATCGGAAACCCACCCAAAGTTGTAAACTGGTCTTTTTTCTATACACTGATTATGACTGATGTACATGTACATGCATTATCATGATTATTGCAATGTGGTGAAAGTCCAAAGAACCAACACAAGCAGACAGACATTGTGTACCAAGCAGCCAATCAGCTATACCATTGTTCAGTATAATGGTCTCCAGGCTATGTTAATACTTGTTGCAAATGGTGGTCTCCATATCACATGTCATCTTCCCGAGGCAAGTGAGTTAACTGACTCTAAAAGTCCAGTTTCCACCCTTGCCGAACTAGGCTGGTATTATGGAGTTACATTTTGGCTGGACTAACGAGTCTATGCATAGTCCAATCAAAATCACGCACTGAAATTGTAATCCGGTTCGTAAATTGTCATGCAGATTTCGGTCGATTGCAGGATTTGCAAAACATGTGCACCCCCAACTTGTTGTCAGCAGATATTATACCAATCTTTTTATGTTTTTAATCAAGGTGCTCAAGTGATTTGATGCGTTTCGCGATGTAAGACCCGTTTTATCACGGCTCAGAAGGGACATAACTGGTAATAGCCACTGGTGGCGCTACGATCGAGCCCAGTAATTCCAGCCTAGTTCGGCAAGTGTGGAAACTGGACTTTTAAAGTCAGTTAACTCTCTTGCCTCGGGAAGATGATCACATGTGGAGGTTGTTCATCATTTTCTGTGAAGTGAAATTCTGGGAGCAATCAAAATGTCACTGTCCAAACTACAAAATATGTAGGCCGTACAAAGTAGAGACAATTTATGGATACATGTAGGCTGTAGGCGTAAAGTAGGGCCAGTAAAATATGAAGAAGGGTTGCAACATTATTGTTAACGAGCATGCCTGGCCAGTGAACTTTGTAGACTAATTCATACACTAGGTATAACCTACATACTTTATTGAACAAGGAATCCACTATACCCAGTGTCCGAAATAACTGCCGGCCTGCCTGCCCATGACTGGTAACTTTTTTGTTGGGCTGCATGAAATTTTCCTCCACCTCCCCGACTGCCTGGCAGATAATTTTAAGACTACTTACGTATTCAGTTGTATTACAACTCTTCATGGTCTCTCAAGTAATGATATTATTTCAACTGAATCAAGACACGATTTATTTATTTTTTTGCGATTTAAATTTTTTTATTATGTCTAAATCAAATGCAGTCAGGCAATATTTATGGGTCACCTGCCCGACTATCTTGTTGGATTTTAAAATTATTTCAAACGCTGACTGTACCAGTTTTAACCTGTTTAATCTTTATGTTGTGTTTTTCAGATGACCCCAAGCTTGTGTCGGCCAAACACAAGGACATGTTCACAGACTCACTGGAAGACAGGCGACACACCAGTGATGTCAAGTTTGTGTTACGTTCAAGAGACACTCCACAGTTTAAACTGAACAAACCACGATCCCATGAAGAGATTAAAGAACATGTGCTGAAGAGTGACAGAGTGAAATATGCGATTGATCAGGTGCACTTCCGCTTCTCTGTAACATGTTTAATGAATCTGATTTGCCATTTCCTTGTCAGTAGTGGGGACTGTTGGGGCTTCAACCAAGTCAGCGAGCCTGACCACCAGATCCCCTTATTCGCCTCGTACGGCATGCATAGTTGCCTTTTACGACAAGCATGGGTTGCTGAAGACCTATTCCACCCCGAATCTTCACGGGTCCAAACTGTTGTAATACATGCTAATCAGGTGTGGAATTTGACTGTAAAAATTGTAGCTTATCAAGTTTATGTAGTACTCAGAACAAGTTAAAGAACAACCAGCTTTTTTCATGTGACTATAGTTAATCTGTCATGGACCAAATAGATTAAAAATGTATTGAATACCCAAAGAAAACTATCAACACCCAAATTGAATGATAACATGCAAGTAAATATTCAGTGGCTAAAACAATGGAGCCCTGCACTATTAAAGGCAGCGTTAAAACCATACTCACTCGCTCGCCCACTAGGTGTGTCAGGAGACCCAGCTGCCGGTGTCGGAGGTGACGGAGCAAGCTGAGGCGGTGCTGGAGGAGATGGCACACACTCTCAGGATGGGGGCTATCCGGGGCTTCGCATTCTTCCTGGTTAAGACGCTCAAGCAGCTGTATCGACGGATCTACATCAACGAGGAAGGGGTTCAGAGGGTGAGTGATGTCAACAGATTAAAATGACCACATTTCACCTGTTTTATTATCATTTTATTTAAAGGTTGTGATGGACTTCTCTACTAATATTCAGATTTCAGACATCTTTCAACTGAAACTCTGTGAATCATATGTCAAATGTTCTCTGCATTTTTGTTAGTCAACAATTTCACAATTAGGTTGTGGTAACCATGGTAACCTTAGGATAAGAACAAATTATAATATTTGTCTTTAGTGTTTTCCCCGATTGTGTGCAGGTGCGGAGCGTGATGAAGGAGTACCCGGTGTTACTGATGCCAAACCACCGCAGCTACATGGACTTCCTCCTCATGTCCTACGTCTTCTTCAGCTACGACCTCCCCCTTCCTGTCATCGCCTCCGCCATGGGTATGTGTCTGCCCATCACTGCTTCCTCAGTCTACCATCCAATCTTTACATCACAGTGTATCAAATATTTACAACATGTAAAGTGCAGCCTATATTAATTCCATTAGGAACTGCCTGTTTATGTTCGGTGTTAAGGTACAGCTAGTTTAGTGCATTAATTACTCTCATGAGCTCCTTCCATTTTCCAGTTTTTGATATTTGAGCTAATATCATGGTTCTTTTGGGGGGCTGTGTATTGGCAAAACAATTGTATTGCAATTTATTGCAATATAGGTATATGTATTGTGATGCGTATTGCGATATATTGAGAGCTAAGTGTTTGACAGTGATTGACACTGGTTCAGGCCACACATTTTTTATTTTTCGTTTCATGGGCCCGCCAACCCTCCTGAAAAGCAGCTGGAAAAGAAATAAATTAATATATTTTGTCTCCCGCTTGTAATATAGACCCTCTTCTACAATTTAAAATGTTGTATATAAATTCCATGTCTACATCACTGTCAGTGATTAAAGAAGTCAGTTGCAGTTTAAAACTACAGCAGAATGACACTGATATCAGTTAATGAATGATTGACATAGCTATTTATTCTTATAAAAAAAATTATCGACCTTATGTGGAAAAGCTGTAATAGATCTGTGAAACATAAAATTAAAAAAGTGTGGCCTAAAATAAATATTGCTCAGTATGATCAGATGCTGCCATTTTGTAGTCATGGATACACGGAGATGATACTGTGAGGGAGGTACACCAGTACTAACCTGCAGTCTGATTGTTTTGCCCTACAGTACTCTATGTAATGTTTCCGTCTCCAGATTTCATGGGCATGAAGTTTGTGGGGCTGTTGTTGCGTAACTCTGGGGCCTTCTACATCCGTCGCAGCTTCGGTGACGACCAGTTGTACTGGGCGATATTCACGGAGTATGTACAGACTCAGATCTGTAACGGCGACCACCCCATCGAGTTCTATGTCGAGGGGACAAGGAGCAGGACCTCCAAGTCGTACCCTCCAAAATTTGGTGAGGTATTCTATTGATTGTTGTTAGAAGTAACTTAATTGGATCTGGTGGTCAGTTTTGATGACTTGGTTGATTGTTTGTACTCCTACAACTTTGGCTGATGCTCATAATATCAACCACTTGGGGGGCATGGTTGGCCCAGTCGTCTAAGTGGGTTCAAGTAAAAAGCCAGAAGCATATACATACCTGGGTTTCTTTTAATAAACGACTAGATCAGAAATCCATTGATGATCAGGAAAGGATAAATCGTCAGTATCTAGTTATCCACATAATCAAGATTCATGATTCTGAGTCTACTTGTAGTTATTGTGTATACTCTGCTGAGTGAATTGGATGAATTTGCTGTAACACCTGTGGCTTGCCATTGTTTGGTCACCAGGTATGTTATCGGCGGCGCTGGAGCCGTACTTCAAGTCACACATCCCCGACATCATGGTGATCCCCGTCAGTGTCAGCTACGACCGCATCTTGGAGGAGTCACTCTATGCATATGAGCTGCTTGGAGTCCCCAAACCGAAGGAGTCTACCTCTGTAAGTACTGCAGATATACAAACACGAATAGTCACCATGTCCTTGATTTTACCATGTTTATGAGAAAGTACATACTTCTACATCAAGTGTAGCAGAGAACATTTTTCCGAGGCAAAGAGCATTAACTGACTATAAAAGTTCAGTTTCCACCCTTGCTGAATTAGGCTGGAATTTCCAGGCTCCTGTGTACCGCCACCAGTCACTATTACAAGTTATGTCCCTTCTATGTACCTCTGACCAATCAGATTCCACTTTTCATATCACTTGCAATTGCTTCAAACAAAATGGTGTCCAGTCAAGACGATCTGATCGCTAATCAAAATCTATATTGTAATAAAACGAGTCTTACCCTGCGAAGTGCATCAAATCACTTGAGCACATGAAAAGATTGGCAAAACATTTGTCGACGCCCCATTGGCAGCACACATGCTTTGTAAATCCTGCAGTTGGACAAAATCTGCACGCTGATATCCATGTTGTTTTTTAACTGGATGTCTAGTTCGTTTCGCGAGTTTGATTGGACTATGCTTGGACTCATTAGTCCAGCCAAAATGTAACTCCGGAATTCCAGCCTAGTTCTGGAAGGGTGGAAACTGGACCTTTATAGGCAGTTAATGCCCTTGCCTCAGGAAGATGAGCAGAGAAATAGTCTGTGTATGAGCAGAGACTATAGTAAGCATTCTGTTATGATCAAAATAATAACTGACATCTGTCTACTAACTCTATTTCCAGGGTCTTTTGAAAGCTAGAAGCATTTTAGCTGAAGATTTTGGCAATGTACATATTTTCTTTGGTGAGCCGGTCTCGATACGAAAATTTGCTGATGGGAAGTTGGATAGAAGTTCCCACAATCTGGCTCCGAGGTGAGTCAACAGATATTACACACTGGCTGGTAACTTGTGTGGTTCTCATAGGAGTCTTATCAGAAGAAGAAAAAATCTGCCTGACAATATACAAGTAAAAAGATTCTATTTTCAGACTGAATTTTTGATGACTGAAATTGAGAAACAACTAATCTAGAGATATGACCTTATAATGCACACTCAAGGTACTTCAGTTTTGTAAATATTTCATACACATAGGAAAAAGAAAATATTTTGGTTCACTTTTTCTTTGACTTTATGTCTATGATTCTCTGCTTCATTGCTTTATATTGGCGGTAGGTTGACTTAAAGTATGACACAGAAATATACGAGAAGACATCCTAATCCCAAGTCTTAGCAGTGACCTGGTCTAGAGTATCATTGTACGATCATGACTTGGGTTATTGCTGACACTGTCCCTCGTCTGATGTAATGTCTACACTATGTCTCTCGACGCTATGATATTACTGGAATACTGTTCAACGCGGCATTAAACTCCGCTCGCTCGCTCACTCACTCACTCACTCACTCACTCACTCACTCACTCACTCACTCAATCACTCACTCAATCACTCACTCACTCACTCACTCACTCACTCACTCACTCACTCACTCACTCACTCACTCACTCTGCAGGTACATTGCAAGTCTGACAACCGAGGAGCAACGACTCCTGCAGCGTTTCGGGCACAGCATTGTGTTGCAGCATCAGAAAAACATGGTTATCTCCCCCTGGTCCCTGATCGCTGCAGTCTTGATGCAAAGTCCCAATGGTGTGTCGGTCAGACAGCTGGTGAGAGAAGTGGACTGGCTGAAGAGACAGGCATCCAGCCTGGGAGCATATATCGACTGGCCATGTATGTCACAATATTCAGTTTATAGACTTTATTTAAGGTCAGTACCTGGCCATGTATGGCACACTGTACAATTATGGACTTTCTATGAGGTCAATATTATACAATTATAGACTTTCTAGTGAGGTCAATACTAAACAATTATAGACTTTCTATGAGGTTAATATTATACAGTTATAGACTTTCTATGAAGTCAATACCAAACAATTATAAACTTTGTATGAGGTCAATACTAAACAATTATAGACTTTCTATGAGGCCAATACCTGGCTGTGTACGTCACACTATACAATTATAGACACTGTATGATACCTGTTTTTATGGTAATGGGAAAAGTAATATTGACCAAAGATGAAGTTATGTTGCTTGCTTTTTTTTCTCCAGGATCATAAATACAGGTAATGACCTCATACAAAGTCTATAATTGTGTTATTTTATGGAGAAAGAGACAACACATCAGACAATGTTAGATGAAATAATGTTACAATGTTCCAACCAACGGGAATATGATTGGCTTAGGTTTGGGGAATACCATTTCCTGATAATTCCAATTTTATTTTTAGTAAGTTATCAAAACTGACTTGAGTGAATATGCATTTTCATCGAATAACATGTGACTGCCACTCGACCAGTGAATATGGCTAAAGTCTTTGCATACCATAATAAAAGCTGTTGCAGTGTAGTGAAATACAGCACTAAGCAAAATCTCTTAGACACTGGCCAGGGGTACAGGTGGCCCGAAAATCTAAGGAACTGGGGTTTTGTGTGCAGAGTTGTGTCCCTTAGGCTTGTCAGAAACCTCTGATTGTGGGATTGAATCCAGATTTCATTCTGATTGTTTCTTGGTTTTCTGTGCCATATCTGTCCTCATGGGTTTCACCAAAGTGGTGAATATCAAAAGATTAAAGTCCTGCATCACTTACCTCCCACATGAAGCTCACACACCTTGATATGACGGACATATGCCATTAAACCAAACTCACTCACTTATACACAATAATGCTTCTGTGGTTGGTTCAAGTTGTGGCTCATCAAACATGAAGGCCTGTGTTCTGTTCCCAACACAGAATCCATTCCTAGTGTCTTGTGCTGTGATAAGGCTGGTGTTTTGTTTAAGAAGGCGTAATACCATACTCACTAGCTTCATCTCTCACTATCTTCCCATGTCAGTGTTTATGTTTGACATAAGTTTAAGTAAATGTTAGGCACACAATAAAATGAGTAAAAAGCAACTTCCCCTTGACAGATATATGAGGAAGTGGTTCCCTAATAAGTGAAAATTTGGCATCAACAAATGTTCTTGACTGGTTTCAAATATGTTTAGTGACAAGCGAAATGGTGAACTTGTCCGTTTCCTGATCTTAAATACAATTATTTTCGTGTAAATTCTTCTGAATGTAATTTTGTTCTGTATATGTCAGTGAAGCATGGAATATTATCTCAAAGTTAACCTTCTTGCCCTCATTCCAAGTACTGTAGGGTGGTGAGGTAGCCTTGTGGTTAAAGCGTTCACTCGTCACACCGATGACCCGGGTTCGATTCCTGACATTGGTACAATGTGTGAATCCAATGTCTGGTGTCCCTTGCTGGAATATTGCTGGAGTATTGCTGAAAGTGGCGTAAACCCCAAGCACTGCCAAGTGAACATGTTTATTGTGTTGTTGCCTAGCATCATAGGGTTTTCGAAACATAAGTCCTTGTTTAGCCAGATACATTCAATCAAGATATTGAAGAGGTTGTGATACACTGTGACATCAGTGAAAAGGGAATTCCATTGCATCTTTAGTCACATGTTCAGCCTTAGAAATTCTTTTTTTGTAAGATTTGTCATTTTTTATTCGTACTCAGAGGTTGGAGCTAGTCCTGCGAGAACAAGACACAAATGTTTTCTATGGTTACATTTTCTGTCAGTTTTATTCAGTTAAATTTGAAGCAAAATTGAAGCATTTAGAACTGGTTCAGAATTATAGCCCCCACTTGTTTCTAACCAGGGAGGACTACCATTATTGGATATTTGCTTGTACTCAGCACAATTTAGTAGTCTCTGAATTTTGAAGGCTGCATATTATTTCTGGTCTCCTGCTTGGGTATCACTCGAAGACTTTCTTTAAGTACTTTTTCAAGTGTGATATCTGTGTAATATTCCAATCCTTTCTTCAGCCAATGAGAATGCAGAAACTATCATCCGTGCCAACCTTGTCCTGCACAAGAACATTGTGTGTGTGAGCTCGGAGGATGTGGTGGAGCTGATGGCTGTCTCCTTCCCGCCCACCGTCAAGCGCCAGGACGAGCTGATGATGACTGCTGCGCAGCACCTGATGCTGTCTCTGTACCGGAACCAGCTGATGCATGTGTTTGTCCGGGTGGCCCTGATAGCTGTGTGCATCAACTCCTGTGAGGAACCGACTCTCTCGGTTGGTAAGTGCAATATATTGTTCTAATATTTCTGGCTTTGTTGTACTGCTGCCCACCCACCCACCCACTCACCCACTCACCCACTCACCCACTCACCCACTCACTCACTCACTCACTCACTCACTCACACACACACACACACACACACACACACACACACACACACTCAGTTGGGATAGCCCCTTCAGTGTTTGAAGTTAAGGGTGGTCCTGGGGTCCTTGAGATTTGCTGCTGTAGTATTTAAGTCGACTTCACGAGGGAAGGGCGTTAACTGACAGTTCCCACCCTTTCCAAACTAGGCTGGAGTTTCTGGGCTGGAACGTTGCGCCACCAGTGGCTATTACACGTTACGTCCCTTCTATTGACCAGTCAGATTCCATCACTGATGTCAGCTGCATTTGCCTCAAACAAAATGGCAGCACCCAGTATAAACGATCTGTTAGATAATCAAGATCCATATTGTAATAAAACGAGTCTTACCACTTGAGCACCTTGATTAAAAACATGAAAATATTTGCAAAATGTCTGTCGATGCCCAGGTGGTGATACACATGCTTTGCAAATCCTGCAGTCGACCGAAATCTGCACTTTTGAAATCCATGTTGTTTACAAACCAGATGTTTAGTTCTTTACGCGATTTTGATTGGACTCTGCATAGACTCGTTAGTCAAGCCAAAATGTAACTCTGGAATTCCAGTCTTGTTCGGCAAAGGTGGGAAGTTGACTTTTATAGTTAGTTAACGCCCTTACCTGGCGAAAATGTAATTAAGGCCAAGGACACCCTAAAATTTCAGCTTTTAACACTAGAGTTATGATAAGGACCACTTGACTTTCATGCTTAATTTTGAACACTGCTCTTGGTGGGAATGTTGAGGTCATGCAGGGGTCCACTCCTTGTAAGGTGTAGGTGATTTAATGCCATTGTTTCTGTACCTGTACCAAAAGCTTCAGAACAATCTACTTTCTCCAGGGCTGTTGGGATCCCCAGCAACCAGCGACCAAATGGATCGGGTGGTCAGGCTCAGTGACTTAGTTGATAGCTTGTCCTCATACAATGGCGATGGACATCGTTGCCCACAACATCAATCACTGATTGCCTTGTCCAGATTCGATTGTTTCCACGTTGCCTTCAAATAGTAGGAATATTGCTTTGTTTGGTGTTAAACAACAAACAAACAATATATGACTACTGATGCTGATTGTATGTCATCCTACCCGAGTGTGTGGCTTGTTGCTTGTGTTACTAACAATTGGTTCAGATTTTAGTACATACAGTCAGCCGTGATGATGTGGTTGAAAACAATATTCTCTGACAGTCAGACGCCAATGCTATAGGAATGTGTTTATGGAGGCTTCAAGGTTTCATCGATCCATTTCATTGACTGAATCAGTAAGGTCACTGTTGATAGACTTGATTTTCTCACATCCCAGCACCTTCCAGATTTTAAGGACACACAGCACCATGTTCTAGAAAGTTGTCAAAAATATAAAGTGTGGAAGTTGTGACAGTCACTTTGTGCAATGAATCTTAAATTCCCTAAGATTTTTAAAAGCTGGAACAATTTCTGTACAGTTTGTCCTCTGTTTTACAGAGAAGATGTTTGAGGGGTACACCTTCCTGGAGAGACTGCTGAGCAAAGATTTCATCTTCCTGCCAGGGGACACCAAACAGGTGAGACACTGATCTATGACTGGTTATGACCAGGGTGATGCTTGGATGTGTTCGGGTGAAATGTTTTTTGAAGCTGAAAACTTTGTTCTAGGGCATCTCCACCAAAGGAAGAAATGCATAGTGTGAGATAGGATAAGTATATAAAAAAAATATACAATTTATTTTTAAATTTTCAATGTTGGTATACAAGGTACTATACATGTTGTATTTCCTCCCCAGTTGAAGACATTTGTAACCTTCCAGTTGATGTAGTGTCTAACAGTAGCCGTTGTAATTGCAGGACTTTGACCACGCACTGGCCACACTGATCCACACTAGTGGCGTCATTGTGGAGGGTGGTGAGGTCCAGGTGAAGAGATCCACCAACAAGTGCACCACCTTCTACAGTCAGATGTTCGAACCCTTCATCCTCGGCTACTGGGTAGGTATGATCTGTGTCGGGATGGACATGGATTTGATAGTGCAGGATCGTCCGTAAACGACACCTTCCATGTATATAAACTTAACGCCAAAAGAAACGCAAAACATAGAAACATATAGAGAAGTGTGTACATTATGAAGAGATGTTTCCAATGTGTACCAATTAATGACAAAACTAACAATCAGTCAGAGTGTCTTTATTTTATATCATGATATGCTGCACATAATTTCCAAACTTGACACACTAATCCTGTTTGAGACAAATGGTGCATCTTGAGTCATAGGTCTACGACGTCACATGTGATGCATTCATGAGCATCGGTTCACACAACATGCCAGTATGTTTGTTTGTGCATCAAACCAATCTAATATTTCTTGAATATGAGTAAATTTTCATATTAGTAGTAGTAGTAGTAGTAGTATTATTATTATTATTATTATTATTATTCCCTACCAGATCATGTGCCGGTACCTGTTATCCATGACCCCTGGGGTCAATGGAAAACCGTTGGCCCGACCCCCAAAGGTCATGACCCGAGAATCCCAGCTGTTGAGTGCACGTCTCCTCCGTGACGGGACGACCAAATATCACGAAGTGCTCTCCCTTGACATGATGACCAACGCACTTCACTCGCTGTTCATCATGGGAGCAGTCCGCAGAGAGAAAAGGTACATGTAAACGTCAACAGAAGGGCTTGGGCCTTGCAAATACATTTTGAAAGAAGCAGGGTAACAATAGCTGTAATTCATTACATCTGATATATATATATATCGCCTTCTCCAACAAGACAATCTCAGCATTTGACTTTCGTGTTTCTTTAAGTGTGTGACAGTTTGGGAGGGGTTGTGGGGTAGCCTAGTGGTTAAAGCCGTCGCTCGTCACGCCAAAGACCTGGGTTTGATTCCCCACATGGGTACAATGTATGATGCTCATTTCTGGTGTCCCCCGCCATGATATAGCTGGAATATTGCGTAAAACAATACTCACTCACTCACTCAACCATTTGGGCATGGTATCAAGTGTCTGAAATAGATGCATTCCTGCTGCCCGTGGCTGGTAACTTTTCTGTCGGGCTGCATGAAATATTCCTTTACCTACCCGACTGTCTGGCAGATAATTTAAAGCCTACTTATGTATTCAGTTTTATTATAACTCCTTGTAGATTCTCAAGTAATTATTAGCATTATTTCAACTGAGTCAAGATGCGATTTATAATGTCTGAATGTGGGCAGGCAACTTTGAAGATGGACAGGCAACATTTATGGGTCACCTGCCTGACTGTCTTGTTGGGTTGTAATATTATTTCAAACTCTGATGGTATCCCAGAGCTAGATTGAACCCTGCCCGTGCCACTGCTCCAGCTTGTTGCTGATGTTCAATGTATATTTGACTGTTGAATTAAGTTGATTTTTAGGACATTCTCTTCCATCTGTTCTACATCATCTCAATATTCTCAACGCTCGTTTCAGGGATGGTGTGACGTACAGTTTCCCCAACATGGTTCCATTGTCCAAAATCACAGATGAAATTGGTGAGTGATGATGAACCTGTCCTTGCATTATCAGTGCTCAGTCCATTGACCTCAGATTGAATTATTCATAGGCCCTGTGATATTGCTAGGCTACAGGTTACACACAACCAAATGTTTTCCCATAGACTTCTATAGTAACGTTATATTTTTTTTTTAAATAACTAAGCATTCAACAGCTATTATCTGGACGTGTATGCACAGTTTGGCCTTAGAGTAGCAATAAAAACATAAAAAAATACTAGCTTAGCCAGCTCCTTTTCCGAGTAGAGGAAGCTAAACACACCACCCCCAGTTTCGCACCAAATGTCACCTACATGAAAATAGCTGTGGTCACATTCGGCATAAGTCATCATGTTGAAAAAGACAGTACTAAATATAGAAAAACATGGTCAGTTTTAATAACTGGATGGATGTACATTTAAAAGACATAAACATCTTACAGAATATCCTTCAATCACAGCCTGCAGATATCTCTAGATCTGCACTGAAGGCTCCCTACGAAAACCGCACTGTCCCAACTGGTTCTGATTTGGTGTAGTAGAACCTATATAATATATTCCTGACTGTAGGCTTCAACATCAAAACAAACTAGCTTGCCAGCTTCAGAGCTCCCAGCTATCTGAGTCCCTCACACACCTGGGTATTCAAGGTCAGCAGAGGTCCCAACAACCTACACTTGTTGTAAGAGGCAGCTGAATGGATCAGGGTGCCGTTGTACAAATCGATCTTTACGCTGAGGTGATCGTAACTCCCATACCTTAACATAGACTTACGGTGGTGGAAGTGCTAAGGTTGTTTTGTACAACGGCACCCTGGTGGTCATTCTTGGTGTCTTGATTGACTGCATGTCATCGTGCCCCTGAAGCGTGGGACGTTGAACATAATATTAATCTCTGGTTTTACTGGCCCAGACTCAGTCATTTACAGGCTGCTGTCATGTAGCTGGGATATAAAACTACCAGCGATAAACTATCTGAGACATGGCTTATGGGGGTGCAATGATACAGCAATGTCACGATACGATATGTATCGCGGTAGTCATATTTACGCCAGATCACATGGAAATTTCTTGACTATTAATATTTTAGAGCAGGTTCCAAGGGAACAGCTCGCTAAAGACACATGTTTGTAAAGGCTGGTTTTAGTCATGAACTTGAAAGGCTAATTACAACACATTTTGCAATATTTGATGGACAAACACGCTGTGAAGGGGTGGGGATCATTAAACGTGTAGTAAGTAATATGTTTTAGCAAGTGTATCGTCTTGTCTCGAAAAAACGTATCATGGATCGTATCAACGCAAGAAACTCACAATGCACCGATGTATAGTTTCACTCCTTGTGTCTGACACTCCCATACAGTAAAACTCTGATGCAACTACATATATTCTAGAAGAGGCAACAGAGATACTGTTCTTGTACCAAATGAAACACAATTTTCATATCTGTTTCAGCCAAATTTGTTGATGTTCCACCACTGCCCTCTGTCAGCATCAACGTAGATGCCAAGACTGTCACTGTCAACGCCAAACTGTAGTCCATGGTGACAAGTACTTGGAAGTATTGACAGTATTCTTGAAAGTATTGAATCCATTCATGGAAGGCAGTGCATGGAAGCATTGAGCGCAGTGCATGGAAGCATTGAGCGCAGTTCAGGGAAATATTGAGAGCAGTGCAGGAAGCATTGAGAGCAGTGCAGGAAGCATTGAAAGCATCACATGGAAGTATTTTGGAACATTTCATCAACAGTGTCTTGGAAGTATGGAAATCTATGTCCTGAAGCATCTTGAATCAGGAGCTCCAGTGGGTTCATGGAGGGTAGAATTGTGTCAATTTGGATTTTACCTGGCTCAATATCTGTGATATGTACATTTCTAAGCATATTTATCCTGGGGGATATTTCTCATCTGTGGACAGTTGAGTGTTCTATTCTATTCATTCAAGCATTGCAGATCATGCAGTGGTGAAACTGACATTCGGCACACAAACACAAAGTTGTATTTAAATAGAAGTCATATGATGAGAGGCCAGTGTCCTCCATTATCAAGTGTATTATGCTTCCAATCTTCCGTCATTAATACCTTGACCCATTTACCACCATAGCTTTGTGTCAGAGGTGCCATCACAATCGCAAACTCTGTCATTACTAAGTCATTAATACCAGACTCTTGTTACCAGCTCAGAATTTCTCTCGCTCATGAACATGAAACCAACAACCAATCAGAATATCTCTTCTCTATGGGAGTTGTGCATAGATTTGTGGCCTCTATGTATTTTATCCAATCAGGGGGCTGTTATGAATGGGGATATAAGAGGAGGGCAAAGTCTTATGCTTTTAGGCGTTTCCAGTTTTTGAGATGCTATTTGAGACATAAGGAACAAATCGAATCAAGAACTGGTAATAACAATCTTAAAAGAATTTGATTAGAGTGCTATTTTTACTGGAGTGTCACTGGAACCAGGATCCAAACAAAGCTATGGTGGGCATGGATCCAGGCTCTTTGGAGTCCCACCAGTCCAGAACTGTCATGGTTCCTGCCAAATGTTCTCACATGGCTTGAAGCCGGAGTGAGGCACGTCCACCGCATTCAACTACTCTTTGTACAACACTCCAGTATTTGCAGTACTCTCAACTGCTAAAACAGCATTGAGATCTTAAGTACGGATATGAATACCACAAAGTATTGAAATCATGATTTTGAGGCTGAAGTATTTTATTTTTCTTGGTCCTTCTGTCGGTATATATGACTGATAACATGTCAGTATTGTGACTGAATAATATTTGTAAGTTTTCTGATTTTGTTTATGACGATGATGAGCATCATAAAGAGGAGACTAAGGCAATGATGATCCACCTTGCGTTGGTGATCACCTCAACATTAGTACCGTATTGTGAAATGTGGTCATTCATGGATATGTTTGAAGATAATTGTGTTACCCTGCCTGGTGCTCGGCATTTTCAGGATTAAGCAAGCACTTGGAGTCAATATATTGTGAGTGGGGTATCCATGCTAAAATATGGCATATCCTGGCGAGACTAGAACAATCAGCCACACACATACATGCATATCACTATGTTAGTGCAATAATCGGTAACGCAGCATTAATCCCCATTTCACCTCACCTCCAGCTATATGACGGCGGTCTGTAAATAATCGAGTCTGGACCAGACAATCCAATGATTGACATCATGAGCATCAATCCACGCAATTTGGGTCGATGACATGCATCCGCCAAGTCAGCGACCACCCAATCCCATTAGTCGCCTCTTACGACAAGCATGGGATGCTGATGACCTATTCTTCCCCGCATCTTCACGGGTTTCATTCATGAGTACAAGATATTGTACTCAAAAGAAGTTAAAGAAAACCACAATTTTTTCATATTACTACATTACTATAATGTCATACTTCATTTTGCATCCATTTTTGAAAATGATTTTAGTTTTGAAATCCATTTTTTTAATACATTTTTTGTTATTGTATTGTTATCTATCATGTCTATGTAACCACATGATGTTTTCTTCCAATTCTGTTATGTTCTTGTTTGAATATCAACATCAGTTGTTTTTTAAATGCCATCATCGCTTGTGAGTCTTTGCCAGTCATCATGAGATATTACGTGACCGACTGTGTCAGGGTAGAAGCATACACTACATGGAAGTAGTCAGACAAAAATAAATCATGCTGAAATATTTGGTCCTGTGGTGACATTTTATTGTCAGAAATTTCCACTACCCAAGCATCCAACACTCAGTTATAATTTAAACTGAAACCGTATGACGTGATGAAAATGAATTCATCAGAATTGGATAAGTAGAATTCTGATTTGCCACATAACAAGATTGTCATGTTTGTGTGGTTTCCTTAACTGTTGGGGACGCAGGTGGCCCAGTCGTTGTAAGTGCAGTGCCTGTGCAGAGTGGCATCCCTTGGGCGTGACAGAAGTCTATGAATGTGTGTTCTGTTACTAGGTTAGTCAGCACCATACCCGTGCTCATGGGTTTCACAAAAGTGGTCCACGTCTGAGACCTGCATCACTTTAGGCTTTCCTCCCACATCAAGATGACATGTTGTGATATAACTGAAATACTGCTCAAGGTGGTCTTACACTCAACTGACTGACTGACTCACTCACTCACTCTCATTCACTCTCACTCACTCACTCACTGGGCTTACACTCAACTCACTCACTCACTCACTCACTGGTCTTACACTCAACTCACTCACTCACTCACTTCATTACACCAGCCCTGGGATGAGGCTGAGGGAGCATTCATCCCCACATCACTGTGCAGAGTTGCGTCTCCTTGTCCCGGGATCTTCCAGGTTCCCCATAATTATTATCCACTGCTGCAACACGCCTGTGCTCATGGCTTTCACCAAGGTGATAAACATCAAAGGCCTGTGTTTGAAATAAGGACCTGCCCATAGACCTATGGCAGGAAGATCTCGTGCCTGACCTGCAGTTTAAATCTGAATGGGTCCTTATGGCCTGCTGTAAATTTATGTGCCGATTTATTTGTCACAATAAGCAGAGACCATATATCGGTATATGGTCTCTGCAATACGCTGCAGTTATTTTTAATGATGGCCTGAAGAGTTTAGTCAGGACCTGCAGCTTGTAAAGTCTGTGGTCCTGATGGAAGCCTGGTAATTTTTTGTATTTCAAATGCTAGACCTGTTCCTCTCCCACGAAGGAGTCCATGAAGCTATAGATGATGATATTTCAAATGTTACCCTGATGTGATGAATGTCAATGACACAACGGACAATCTGTAAATATGCTCTGTATATACGATGAACAAAACTTTGTATATTGTCGGCATTATAGATTCCAGGCAGCAGAATAAAGGTGCATACTGTTGAGAACCAGAGGTTCACTTTCATGCTTTGTATATAGCATCTAACTTATACCCTGTCTTGTCCTATGTTTCATGCTTTATATTGTTATCCCCCGCCGCGCGAAAGCGCGAAGCGGGGGATATAGTATTCACGACCGTCCGTACGTCCCACCTGTTTGTTGCCGCGATATCTCAAGAACTAAACACTGGATTGTCTTCATATTTGGAACTATGGTGTATATACAGACTCCGCAGACACCAGTCGGTTTTGGTGACCTTGATCCCATTTTCAAGGTCACAGCAGACAAATCTGCTTTTAGAGTTGGAAAACGGTGTTGCCGCGATATCTCAAGAACTAAACACTGGATTGTCTTCATATTTGGAACTATGGTGTATATACAGACTCCGCAGACACCAGTCGGTTTTGGTGACCTTGATCCCATTTTCAAGGTCACAGCAGACAAATCTGCTTTTAGAGTTGGAAAACGGTGTTGCCGCGATATCTCAAGAACTAAACACTGGATTGTCTTCATATTTGGAACTATGGTGTATATACAGACACCGCAGACACCAGTCGGTTTTGGTGACCTTGACCCCATTTTCAAGGTCACAGCAGGCAAATCTGCTTTTGGAGTTGGAAAACGGTGTTGCCGCGATATCTCAAGAACTAAACACTGGATTGTCTTCATATTTGGAACTATAGTGTATATACAGACTCCGCAGACACCAGTCGGTTTTGGTGACCTTGATCCCATTTTCAAGGTCACAGCAGGCAAATCTGCTTTTAGAGTTGGAAAACAGTGTTGCCGCGATATCTCAAGAACTAAACCTCTCGATTGTCTTCATATTTGGAACTATGGTGTATATACAGACACCGCAGACACCTGTCAGATTTGGTGACCTTGACCCCATTTTCAAGGTCACAGCAGGCAAATCTGCTTTTGGAGTTAGAAAACGGTGTTGCCACAATATCTCAAGAACTAATCGCTGGATTGTCTTCATATTTGGTACTATGGTGTATATGGCGGGGGATATTTCGTCACTCTGTGACAAATACTTGTTTACATCTACAGCATCATTACGTGGAAGTTTTCTGTAATATACGCCAGGCGTAGAAGACTGGTCTGTCTGAGACAGTGTTTCCTTTTTGAATTAAGATATTAAAAAAAGCTTTGAGAATATATTGTGTTGTTATTAAGGCAGTAGGTGAGTCTGGTATGACTGGCTTGAGACTTGGAACTGTTAAGGAAAGTGTAAGTGGGATGGTATTTCTTAGCTCAGTATGGAGACCATAGTGTCTATCCCAAGCCATTAAGTTGGAACTATAGATGGATTTTGACCAAATTTGGTATATGGATAATCCCTTATAAAAGTCAGCTCAAGTTAAGTCAAGTTGATAGCCTACCAGTACAGGTAGTATCAGGTGTTATTGTTTTGTTTGTTGTTTAACACCACACTCAGCACTATTCCAGCTATATGACCACGGTCTGTAATTGGGATACGATGACATGCATTAATGACACGAATGACCACATGACAAGTCAGCGAGCCTGACCATCCGATCCTGTTAGTCGCCTCTTATGACTAAAGTACTTTAGCATAGTTGCCTTCACGGCAAACTTGGTTGCTGAAGACCTATTATATCTTCACGGGTTAGTATTAAGTGTACCAATGGTAACAGAACTCACATGCTGCTCAACAAGTTTGTATATCTGTGTAATGTCCCTTCACTATTTGAAGTGGTTAACTACAAATGGTTTCATTTGCAAGTCACTACATGTCGGTTATTACTGACCACACAGGATAACACATGGTTGTCACACATGATAACACACATGCTGGTTGTCACACAGGATAACACACATGCTGGTTCTCATACAGGATAGCACACATGCTGGTTGTCACACAGGATAACACATGCAGGTTGTCATACAGGATAACACATGCTGGTTGTCACACAGGATAACACATGCTGGTTGTCACACAGGATAACACATGCAGGTTGTCATACAGGATAACACATGCTGGTTGTCACACAGGATAACACATGCAGGTTGTCATACAGGATAACACATGCAGGTTGTCATACAGGATAACACATGCTGGTTGTCATACAGGATAACACATGCAGGTTGTCATACAGGATAACACATGCTGGTTGTCACACAGGATAACACATGCAGGTTGTCATACAGGATAACACATGCAGGTTGTCACACAGGATAACACACATACAGGTCGTCACACAGGATAACACACATACAGGTTGTCACACAGGATAACACATGCAGGTTGTCATACAGGATAACACATGCTGGTTGTCACACAGGATAACACACATGCTGGTTGTCACACAGGATAACACATGCAGGTTGTCATACAGGATAACACATGCTGGTTGTCACACAGGATAACACATGCAGGTTGTCACACAGGATAACACGCTGGTTGTCATACAGCATAGCACACATGCTGGTTGTCATACAGGATAACACATGCTGGTTGTCATACAGGATAACATGCAGGTTGTCTCACAGGATAACATGCAGGTTGTCACACAGGATAACATGCAGGTTGTCACACAGGATAACACACATACAGGTTGTCACACAGGATAACACATGCTGGTTGTCACAGGATAACACATACTGGTTGCCACACAGGATAACACATGCAGGTTGTCATACAGGATAACACGCTGGTTGTCATACAGGATAGCACACATGCTGGTTGTCACACAGGATAACACATGCTGGTTGTCATACAGGATAGCACACATGCTGGTTGTCACACAGGATAACACATGCAGGTTGTCATACAGGATAACACATGCAGGTTGTCACACAGGATAGCACACATGCTGGTTGTCACACAGGATAACACATGCTGGTTGTCATACAGGATAACACATGCAGGTTGTCATACAGGATAACACATACTGGTTGCCACACAGGATAACGTGCAGGTTGTCATACAGGATAACACGCTGGTTGTCATACAGGATAGCACACATGCTGGTTGTCACACAGGATAACACATGCAGGTTGTCATACAGGATAGCACACATGCTGGTTGTCACACAGGATAACACATGCAGGTTGTCACACAGGATAACACATGCAGGTTGTCACACAGGATAACACATGCAGGTTGTCATACAGGATAGCATACATGCTGGTTGTCACACAGGATAACACATGCTGGTTGTCATACAGGATAACACATGCAGGTTGTCAAACAGGATAACACATGCTGGTTGTAATACAGGATAGCACACATGCTGGTTGTCATACAGGATAACACATGCAGGTTGTCATACAGGATAACACATGTAGGTTGTCACACAGGATAGCACACATGCTGGTTGTCATACAGGATAACACATGCAGGTTGTCACACAGGATAACACATGCAGGTTGTCACACAGGATAACACACATACAGGTTGTCACACAGGATAACACATGCTGGTTGTCACAGGATAACACATACTGGTTGCCACACAGGATAACACATGCAGGTTGTCATACAGGATAACACGCTGGTTGTCATACAGGATAGCACACATGCTGGTTGTCACACAGGATAACACATGCTGGTTGTCATACAGGATAGCACACATGCAGGTTGTCACACAGGATAGCATACATGCAGGTTGTCATACAGGATAACACATGCAGGTTGTCACACAGGATAGCACACATGCTGGTTGTCACACAGGATAACACATGCTGGTTGTCATACAGGATAACACATACTGGTTGCCACACAGGATAACGTGCAGGTTGTCATACAGGATAACACGCTGGTTGTCATACAGGATAGCACACATGCTGGTTGTCACACAGGATAACACATGCAGGTTGTCATACAGGATAGCACACATGCTGGTTGTCACACAGGATAACACATGCAGGTTGTCATACAGGATAACACATGCAGGTTGTCATACAGGATAACACATGCAGGTCGTCACACAGGATAACACATGCAGGTTGTCACACAGGATGCATACATGCTGGTTGTCACACAGGATAACACATGCTGGTTGTCATACAGGATAACACATGCAGGTTGTCAAACAGGATAACACATGCTGGTTGTCATACAGGATAACACATGTAGGTTGTCACACAGGATAGCACACATGCTGGTTGTCATACAGGATAACACATGCAGGTTGTCACACAGGATAACACGCTGGTTGTCATACAGGATAGCACACATGCTGGTTGTCATACAGGATAACACACG